TGTCCATGGACAATGGGCCCTAAGGGTAGGGCCCGTCCATGGGCGATGTCGCAGTCTACTTATACTAATTACTTTAGTTTATATTATTCTTTAATATACCTTATATCTTACTTAAAAAGAAGTAAAGCTTATACTAAGATATAAGAATTATTCTAATTATATAAAGACTATTATAAATCTCTTTTATCTTTATATAATAAGAGATAAGCTTTACTATCTTAGTATTAAGGGCTTATAATATTACTTTCTTTTAAAGTATAATTTTTAAAGTAAGTTATATAATTAATTCTCTAAAGTATTTAAAGAAAGTATTATAAATACTAAAAATATAATATATTACTATCTCTTTAGTCTTTAAAAGTACTATAATAAAGTAGTAGTTGTTTTGCCCCCTCGCCGCTCAACGCCGTGTTTCCATTTGATTGTTTCGTATTTTGCGTGCTGTCTTCGTTTAGTTTCCTGGTTCAGGTTCGTTGGTGTCTCGCGATCTCAGAGGGTGTTCAAGCCTATTCACCCACGCGGATTCTTCTGGTTTCCCCCTCCACGGAATAGGAGGGTACTGACGCCGGACACCACGAGAAGGTAGAGATCCATCGTCTCAACTGCTTGACGAGAGCAGTTACCCGGCGTGCATGCCAGGGGCGTTGGGAGACTACAATACTTCCTGAAACTAGTACATGTACTCTGTAGTGCATGTCTCCTTAATGGGCTAACTACACAACGTTAGCGCGTTCACATGACTTGTCATATTTGCGCCCACCGTACTCTGATGGCTAAAAGATTCCCCGAGATGAGCCCCTCAGCTGACTGTGACGTGCAGAGTCAGAAGTCGTCAACCTGAGACATATTTGTATTCGTTATGTGATCTCGCCTATCGAAGCAAACACGAATACAATCCTACCCATCCCATAAAATCCGAACTCTATAACGACATACGCACAATGGCTGAAGTTCTGGGGACAGTTTCCGCTGTACTTGCGATCGCAGAAACTTCACTCAAGGCGTCTTCGGCGCTTCACAAGCTTTTCACAACCATAAAAGACGCACCTCGAGAGATTATGGTTCTCGACCGTGATATCAGCGTCTTCAATTCGCTAGTGATAAGTCTTCAAGCCGCTTTGAATTCGGAAGATGTGATGGTTATTGTGAAAAGGGACATCGAAATTGATGAATTGTTGGAAATACTTCTGCTTCCTATGACGAACTGTAAAGAAGTGTGTGAAGAGATTCACAAGAAGTTGCAAAGTTTTAGAGTTTCCTTGCCATCATCGGAAGGAACCCTGGATATTGAGCCCCCAAGACGCTTTCAACTGAAGTTTGCGAAGTGGCACTTCGCAAAAAAAGATGTTTATGCCTTGCTAGCACGCTTCCAAGCGAGCAAAGGAATCTTCTCAGATGCTATGGGAACTCTGACGCTGTACGAACCGACCTCTTCCCTGAGAATTTACCGTTAGCCGTCTAACCTCCCCAAGGCTTCTTACATTCAGAATACACTCCGTGATGAGCAAAGGCCAGCCCAAAGACCAGTTCATCAACCAAGTGAACGGCATCCAAAGGTTCGATGATGATGCTGGGTCGGCTTTTCTTCGATACACCAAGATGACCCAGGAAGTGTATCTCGACCTAAACACAATGCCCTTGCCCGCAAGGCATGCAAAGCTCAAGGGTCCTCAGCACGCTAAATCCCTTTTAGACGCAGTAAGGAATGATGCATTAGCTTCGGTAGAGATGATGTTGGGTAGTATCGATGTCGATACCCAGGATCCTTTGACTGGGCGAACCGCTCTCTCGATCACAGCTGAGCTCGGCAATCTCCAAATGACTAAACTTCTCCTTAGCCATGGGGCTAATGTCAACATTCGCCAATATAGTTTAAGCAAACAACAAGGCGAGGGTTTTGAGGGGTGTGCAATAGTAAGGAGTGGTCGTTTCCCGCTTCACTGGGCTGTTGTCGGGGATCATATCGAAATTGTCAAGCTTCTGCTGCAGCATCGAGCTAATCCCAATGCGCGAAACAGTGCTGGCCGACCTGTTCTACAGGAGGCTTGTTTTAAAAACAATCCTGAGATGGCCAAGATATTGCTCGAAGCAGGCGCAGATGTGAATGGGATAAACCTCCATTCCGTAAGTTTCCGATTGAAGGAAGACCTTGATATCCATATCGCTGACTGTGTATCAGGGCTGGGCACCTATACATGAATGTTCAAATGGCAAATCTATCGACTTGTTGTATGTGCTTCTTGACTATGGAGCATTACTGGACGTTCCAGTATTCGATTGTTACTATCCAGATGCATATCCAATACATTGGACCACGCGGCTTGGAGAGGGAAACACGCTGAAGATCCTTCTAGCAAGTGGGGCCGATCCTAATGCTTTAATGGCCGAGGATATCTCTTGTCTCCATCTAGCTGCCGCCCGGGGATGGGTAGATGGTATTTTCAGTTTGTTAGAAAAAGGTGCATCGATAAACGCTCAAGACCTATGTCTTCGTGAGACGCCTTTGCATAAAGCGGCGCGGAACTGTGAGATGAGCGCAATTCGGGTCTTATGCATGAATGGGGCCGATACCACTCTTAAGAACATCGATGGACTCACTTACCAGGAGGTTTTGGCGTGTGCACAGCAGATTCCCGATAATTGGCGTGTCGATGTTATGCGTGGATCGTTCTGTTCGAGGTATTAATTCATTGAAGTACCTATTCACCTCGATGGAATTCCACTCGTAACCCCAATCGTTCCAATATTTATCTACATTCAAACGTTTGCGCCTGGAGTTGGCTAAAGAGGTAGTCCTAAATTAAATCATGACATTTTGACACCTGAACAATTTTCAAGAGAGATCCCTGCTCAACACCGAGTGCATCTACATTTGATCTTCGTCAATCTGTGGGGCAAAGAAAATGATCTTTGCGATCCGCACGGGCTCACATATTAGCCAAGTGCGAATTGTGGAATGAAAAAAGGCGTGTCTTGGGGTTAAGATAGAGCAGGGGCAGCAGAAAGTTCATTTGGATATATCTTGGTGCACTGCCAAACTTCGCCAGTGACTTCCAAGGTTCAGATGTCCAAAACTCAAGTGCTGGATTACTAGAGATTTCTGCTTCCATGCACATCATGAAAATTCTAGCCAATAATGAACTTCGATCGGAAGACGACTTACCGGCTACCGTAAATCCCAAGATGCTGAGTTGTGTACTAAAACGGTTAAACCATGGACAAGGGGCCGGAGCTATAGGGACCGAAATCGCAGCATGCGGATGCCGTCGGCAGTCTGTTCTTCAAAAGGATGGTGCGTTTTTGCCGACTTGAATCACTCCACCGGGTACTACGCGACGGTCTGCTTGAATGAAAGGCCGGGGATCTATGACCTTCCCTCGGAGAAGGTATTGATCCCTGGCAGAAGCATCCGCGAGAATGGCGTTGTACTATACGATCCTGCTGTCCTTCCTTTTAGTGGTCTTCAACCCGGAGAGTCTCCCATGGTGCCCACTACCCCAGTTCCTTCTTAGATTAGTATAGTACCGTATCCTGAACCATGCAAGCGGTGAAAGGGTTCGTACTATGAAGAAACATTGACAAGCTAGAGAATAGTACCGGAACTGCGTCCGTAATGAATGTTTATTGCATGGTTACGTCCTGATCTAGCTTTCGTATAAGTTTAACTATAACATCAATGACTGGGGATTGAATGACTGGGAATTTTGACCCCGTGACACGAATTCTTCCCGCCATTCCAAGTCCTAGAAGCCAAGTCAGGCCGACCGACAAAGTCATGTCCGTTTTGGGCTGGGCTGGGCTGGGCTGGGTTGGGTTTTGGGTACCCGCAAGTTTACATACGCGTCGCAAAAGTAGATAGATCCAAACGCACGACGCGACCCCAACAAAGTCCAATTTCCAAATTTTCACAATGGAAAAAATCCATACCCACGCCTGATGGTACGCCTCCTGAGTATGGCTTCTTCTTCCTCCTCCTCGTCGTCGCGATCATTACATCAGGCTTTCAGTCCTCTGCTCTCCATTGAGCCATCATCTGATGCATTCTTGGACTCTGACATTCAGTCCTCTGTGAGAGAATATCCTGCCCCTGAACATTGTGAGACCACCAACAGGTATGCTAAGACAGCCTATAGCCTTTCCCTAGACCTCATAATAACTACGATTTAATCACTCGAAGACCCCCGGGAACGCTAAGGCGTGTGGGGCCTCAAAGAATCAAGAATTGGATCTTGTACGAACCGAGCCTAGAGAGAGAGTTCCTAGGATGGTGGGAAACAACGGAGTACGGTCAAAAGCTCAACGGAGATGGTCAATCTCAGATAAAATGGTCCACCGAATCGCGTCATGCCGACGTTTGGAAGCACTTTGACCAAGTAGCTGATATCGATACTGGGCGTCTACGAGTCTTTTGTCAAGCCTGTCTTACTTTACTTGACCATCAACAGCACAGGGAAAATGGTACAAGCGCCATGGGCAGACACCAGAAATCCAATACTTGTCGCCGCGGGAAAAAGAGAAGATCCCGTCAAACCTTACTCTCTGATTCGTTACAAAATCATTCCACTAGTGCTTCACTTAGCGCAGAAAGAGTCACAACATCTGAATTTGAGGAGCAGTTGCTGAAAACTATTACTTGCCTCCGGCTGCCATTTCAGACTGGAGAATCCCGTGTTCCAAAGACGGTTGAACCTCTTACACTCTGGTCCCGGGGAACTGGAAATTCCGTCGGCGAAGACCCTACGACGGCGACTTCGAGAGGTAGTTGCCGTTCAGCAGGAGTCACAGTTACAAGATCTGCCTGAAAATGCTAAGGTATCACTTGCCCTAGATTGCTGGACCAGCCCATTCCAACAGGCCTTCATGGCAATCACAGTATACTTCATTGACAAGGACTGGAACTATCGAGAAATGCTTCTTGGGTTTGAACCGCTACATGGACCTCACACTGGGAGTAACCTCAGTGATGTTTTGCTCCAACTACTGAAGGACCGGAAACTCCTGGATCGTATCTTTAGCGTCACTACAGATAATGCGGCCAATAACGAAACTCTTATACGAGCCTTGCAAGAGAGACTGATCTCCACCGGTGCAATTGGTTCCAGAGAATCAATAGTTCGAGTTCCTTGTATGGCTCATGTGATTCAGCTTTGCCTGAAACAACTTTTGGGGTATATCAAAGCAGCACCCCGGAACAAAGAGATAAGAACGTTTTAGTCTGACACCCAAGCGAATGAATGGGTTGAAAGATTCGGTCAACCATAGAGACGTGGCTCACACTCTAACTAAAGTAAGCCCGGATTCTCTCTGATTGACTACCAATGTGTATGAAGCACTAATAAAAGTAGATTCGATCATTTGCTGTTTTTGTCAACGCGAGTCCACAACGGCGAGATGCCTTTCTGTGCCTCCAATCAGGTGGTACCCGGCTGTTCCCGTTGCATAATGTTCAAACACGCTGGAATTCGACGTTTCTGATGCTTCGCCGTACGTGCCGGCTCAGGAATGTCATCAACAGATACTGCTGTGATCATGAATACTCGCAGTTCAAGGTTACTAATATCGAATGGAGGCAAATCGACTACCTGGTTCATTTGACCAAACCGTTCTTTCGGTTCACCATGGCTTTGATGAAGACTAGAGACGTTACAATCCACAGTGTGTTCCTCGTATACAGGAAGCTTCTGGAGCATATTGAAAGGTCGAATCGAAAATTAAGAAGAAAGGTAACACCCTGGAAGAAGGACATGTATAGCGCTTTGCTCGTTGCAAGGCAGAAGCTGAAAGAGTACTATGAAAAGACCTACCGCGATCACGGTTTTCTCTATGGCACCGGAACATTACTCGCTCCGCAATATAAACTGAGTGCTTTCGATGATAGAGAGTCCTCTACTTGCCATGAAGATACGTCAAAAAGATACTGTGAATACTTGCGAGCATGTTTCACACAGTATCAGCAGCAGAGCCCAGAGCTGTTATTCCGCACGGTACAGCGCTCTTCCACTTTACATAGCTCGGAGCTTGATCGGCTACTTGAACCCCTGGATGCATCAATGCTCGATGAAGGAACAGAGTATGATGAAGTGGACCAGTATCTTAAAGAGGGTACGAGCGACTGACACACTGCGCTAGAACGACTGACTGACTTCTAATAGCGAATGTTCCTGTAACCTCGCAAATTTACTGGAAGGAGCACGAGAGCAAGTTCCCTGTTCTTTCTCGACTTGCGCGAGACTTGCTTTCTGTCCCAGCCACCGGCGCAGGTGTGGAGAGGCTTTTCAACAGTGCTCGAGACATTTGTTACTATCGTCGAGGTTCTCTATCAAAAATATAAATACAAACTCTCTTATACTCGCCCGTTTGCTATATTGAATGCTCCTCTCCCCTTCTACCTTCTTTCATTCTTCTTCTCTCTTCACCACCCTCTACTTACTTCAGCCTTCCACCAACTCATCACACTCGAAAGTCCTATCACACATTCTCTATCAAAATCTTTATCAACCCTTCAACATGCCTCAGGTGAGTCTACACTGAACTTATTCAGTGTTTACGATTGCAGCCAGTATAATTAGAGAAGGCGAGGCTACTGCCGTCTAGATAGAAGCGAGACCACGAGGTCCATTGCGCGAGCCGCTACGCTAAGTGTGCATATATATGCTCTCCGAGAGGCAGCCGAAGAGACCGAAGCTACTACCTTACAGCTCCAAGTTCAACCTCAAATTTCGATGCCTCCTAGTGTGAGTCCTCATTAATCTTATCAAGTATTATGACTAACGAATATAGGATGAGGTCATGGCATCGCGAGGTGGAATACGAACGCCTCGGTATGAAGTGCTTATCCACACTGTACGGAACTGGTATATCAGATAGAGCGGCATCACCGATGCTGATATGAAGGCTTCGATTCAAGATTGACAAGCAACTTGGCCCATGCTTTTTCAATACATGGATGATAACACTATACTTGTTGGTCACGCCCTACAAAACGACCTCAACGTCTTGGGAGGGCTACACTCTATACCATTACCCACCGATCTTTCCAACTAGTAGACTCGGGGGTCGAGATATCACACATCAAACTGCAAAAATAAATCTTTGAATTACTATATAAGGCGTAGTGTATATAAAAAAGCAATGCAATATGTATGTCAACTATCTGTAAATGCAAAGATCACTCTATCAACCAAATAACTGTAGGGTATTGTTGAGCTCTAACACCACACCAAATCCCGAATCAAACACAAAAACAATTGAGAACAGATTCGCCACGCTGATGCAAGTAGAAGAGATAAGAAAACCCCGAGATATCACAAAGGACGGCGCCAAACATGTACCGCCAAATGTCCATATGTCCAAGAGCCTAGGGCCCAGGATAACGCGAAGAAAAATAAATGCAGACCCATCCATAACAGATATAGTAGGGAAATAAGAACAGGGAAAAATAGGGGAATCAAAAAGATCAGTTTATATGCGAAGGATCACTTTTGTCGAAGTTCACGGCCTGCGAGACCCAAGACCTTTCAGCACGACACGCCTGCTTGTGCCGATAGATCCAATGTCGCCAACGCTGCGGACTTTGGGTAAAAAGTGTCCAACCACACTGCCGTCACCAATCTCAAATCGGTCATCGGAATCGTGGTTGGGCGGCATACTGAGTGCGAACTGGGGTGGGTTATGGGAACTGGAGCGGCGGGTCTTTTGGAGGACATCTGCAACCCAGGCTTCACCCTCTGGGCTCATGGATTCGTACCGAGCACGTGGTTTGGGACCAGCTAATCCCAATGGGGTGGAACGGGATTCGTTGGTCGTGGAGGTAGTAGCGGTGTTGTTGGGGGAGTGAGCATCGCCGACTGAATAGCCCGAAGACACTGAAAGGCGTCTGCCGGTCGAGGAGGGGAGAGGGGCAATGGTAGGTGGGGATGAGGTGGAGGAGGATATGTGGCCTGTTGTTACTGCCCTACTGCCCATTACATCAGATGCGGTTGAGGCTCGTCGTTTCTTGTGAACGGTAAGGGATGAAGGGGGCCGGGCACTGAGCACGGATGGTGGACGGGAGGGGGTTGCCCGGCCAGAGGCAAGATATGACGTAGCTGGGGTCAACATAGTGCCCGGAGAAGTGTAAGACGGCGATGAACGTGTTTTTATACCCTGCACCTCCACACGAGGAGTTTCAGAAACCTTGCGGCGACCGTGATGAATAACATATTCGCGAAGGTATTCGCCAAGGTCAGCCCATCCACCGCCAACACGAACCATCACTCGCTGCCCTTCTTCTCCAACGGTGCGAACGAAGAGTTTGGTCGGTGCGGACTGGCCCCCGTGATGGAGGTGATAGAGCTTGACACAGCTATCCTCTGTTTTGTAGGCATGAGAGTGCCGTCTCCGGGAAGCGGGCATCAGCGTCAGAGAAGGTGCAGGAGTGTTGCTGCGAGCCAAGCCAGTGGGGGATTCGGATCTGTACCGCACTCGTCGGTCCAACGATGACGATGATGAGGATGTGTCTCCTTCGTGGTTCGAGTCGACCATATGGATATGACCAGGCAACGAGTTGAGAATGGAGTTAATCTTTTCATCGAGCTGGTCCCGCGGTTGCTTGCTGTGTTTGGTTGGCGAAGAAGGGCGGAAACCGAAGTCAGTGAGCTCAGATTCATGCTCCTCTACATATGACAGCTCTTGCCTCTTCACACCCAGACTTTCGAGACTAGGATGGGCAGTCAGTCGTTGCCGCCATCGGACAGACTTGGGCTGAAGAAGATGCTCCATGGCTCTTCGAGCAGAATTCATTCCAAATGTCTTTTTGTTTCCTTCCGCAATTTTTGCCATCTCATTTTGAGAGTTCAAGTCACTTGTAGACTTTCCACGGGACAGTTGGTGACGGCCAGTAGGAAGACGTGGAACCGGTGGAATGGATGCAGCAGAAGTATCCTGGAATGTAATTTTGCTTCTTGTCTAAGGCAATCAATTAGCGATGAGCATATAATCAAATGGACAATGAGCTCACATACCTTTGGGGGGTTGGGGAAGTCGGCAGATGTAACAGAGCGTGTCCTAGTCCTAGACGGTTTCACACTAGCCACACCTGGCGCCGACTCGCTCCCTAGGCCCAACCCCAGGCGTTCGTTGATGAACCGCTCGAGGGGTAGGCTGACTGTGCGACTTTGTTGGAAAGAGATTCGCAGATCAGGCTTCTGGTTTTCCAAACGACGCAGACGATCCTCTCTCAGGGTATAGTCCCCATGCGAAGGAGGGTGTATGGATCCCGGGTGAGATGATGTCCCAATGGGCGTTACATTAGAGGAATCAGTGCGCGGCTCAGGTACCTCGGGGCTGGATATGAGGGAAGAATGGTCCGAAAGCAAGGAGCCAACAGATCCTGTAGATGTCCGACGACGATGCGTAATATTATGTACCACTGTACCATCTTTGTCGAGATCAGGCTTCCCCGGGCGGAATTTGGAAAGTTTAATGGGACTCTGTAACGGCTTGCGAACAGTCCGTTGACAAGGTTCTGCTTTCCCTTCATTCTGTGGAGGGTGAGACTTGATGGGGGTACGATTCGAGATTGACTTGGGCGATGCCACAGCCATGGGTATTTGGGAGGCCCTGCCAGACGGTCTCGATTTTGGGACTCGGATTTCCGACCTGTTTGGCGTGAGAACAGGAGAAATAGTTGCTGATGCCGGCGTATCACACTGGTTCTGTTCCCTTGGCCCACTCAGGAATTCAGGACCTTGGGCAGCAGGAGAACTGATGCTCTTAGGCTCAGGCGTAAGCACAGTTGATTTGGTGTGCGGAGAAGCTTGTTTTTCCTCCTCGTCTGAGTTATTGTGTTTTTCATCAGCCACAGTATCATGAGGTGCGTCTTTGCTATCAGCAAAAGCATTCAGCTCTTCTGCGGCGGATACACTAGCAGAAACGACAACCTCAGGAAGTTGGACCTCCTTTTCAGGTACAGTGGATTCTTGAACGAAAGAATCCTCGGCCAGATCACTACGCTCGGACAATGGACTTGGTCTGGTCGAAGCTTGGGTGGGAGATGACACAGGTCCATCGAGCTGTTGGAACCCGGGCGGAGGAATGTTTTCTTTGTTTTCCAACGTGCGATCAATTGCACAAGGCGTATGTGCAAGAGCTGGAAAGGGCTCTCGACCAATCGTAGGAGCTGGTGGGAAATGGGACTGTGTTGGTGTGTCTAGGTCCTCTGCCACGACCACAGGTGTGAGATCTTCCTGCTTCTCTTCGATTGGAGACTTCGATAGAGATGTCAAGAGTCGTAGGTTTGGTGAGGCGTCCCCTTCCACGCAGTCTGCAGGAAGTGGCGTCTGTTCAAGAGGCATCGTTGATTGTTCAACAAGTTGTGGGCCAGTTGGCCTTGAGTCACCGGACGGGAGTTCAAGGGCACACTGAAGTTCAGGCTCATGTTCGATGGCGTGCTCCTGATTAGAAGGGAGATCATCTGAAGGTTCCGATACAGCTGTATCGGATATTAGGTCCTGCCGTGTTTCCTTCAATGACTCTGCGCGCTGGAGGTCGGCTGCGCGCATCTCAGCCATTTCAGACTCGGCTTTTGACCGCAACCACGCGTTGCGAACCTTGTATTTATCAGCCTCCACCACCCATACGGCAAAGTCGGACTCAATGGCTTCTAAGTCATCAATCCATTTTTCGGGCAAAGAATCTGGACGACCCTCCAACGCGTCGAGAACTCGATCCATCCGCCTCCCGACAGCCACGACTGCGGACTCAAGTTTAACATGATCGACAGCTAGGGATGCATCGGAGGATTTGCTCGGGTCGGAGGCACTAGAATGTGGGGTTCGTAAGGCTTGGAGGGAGGAGTCAAGGGCGGAGCGGGTCAAGCTCAGCTCTCTCAACAGACCAGGAATTTGGCGTAGGACAAAAATGCGAACTTCCCAAGTGGTGAGTAGGGCGGTCAGTCGCGATAGGTATGGGAGAGCTCGCAAGATGGTCGCGGTGATGACGGCTGTGAAGTCGCTCAGCTGTACATAGCTGAGCGGCGGAGGTACGGATACGCAGCTTGTGGCGGACGAGGGCCGAGACCTAGATGGAATGTGGGCGTTTAAAACGTGTTCCTTTAATTCTTCCACGTTAAGATCGTCCATTCCATCCCGGATTTCATCGGCTCTCCTCTCATATCGCTCGACCACGTTGGCTAACAAGCTCCCATAGTAGCTTGCCTGGGTGTTGCTAGGAGGGGCCAAGAGCCCCGAAGGGATGGGATTTTGCTCAGAGTGCGATTCGGATGGAGGAATAAAGCCAATCCCAACCTTGGCGTCGCGTTGATTTGGCCAATCCCATGATTGGACCTCTTTGTACCACAGATTCAAGTTTTGGGCAGCTACCGCCGCGCGTATCCCTAGGGCGCGTTCCGACGGCGACACCTGAGAGATGCTTCGTGAGAGAATATCATGGGCGGCTTGTTCATTTGAAGGGACGGCATCGGTCGATGTGAGGGCTTGAAGAGTTGATTCGGGAGAGAGATTGCTGAGGAGAGGGTCGAGTTGTTGGTAGATGGAGCCAGGGATTCTTTCAAGTGAGGTTGAGCGCGAGTTGTTTTGGGAGTGGGAGGGGGGGAGGTCGATGGAAGGGCGATTCGGGTTTATTCGACTGGTCGCCATGCCGAATAGCTGGTCAGCTTAAGTCGGGGGAGTAAAGTCACAGGGAGCCTCGACTGGCTCGAGGATGGCATGTAAGTGACGGACGTCGGAACGAGGGCGGGAAAGAGGACTGTCGAGCCCGCATGCTGAGACGCGCGTCTTAAGAAAGTGCAGAACTTGGCAAGCAATAAGCTCTTGGAAATCGAGAAAATAAAGAAATGGGAAAATGATCGGAGGTTGACGAGGGAGGTCGATGTACAAAAGTGAGAGGTGAGAAGCGAGGGAGGTGCGGAGAGAGTGGATGGTGCCAGAGTGGGCACAAATGAGCGACAAGGATAGAAAGACCGGCTTTCTGATCACAAAGATATCAAAACAATAGTTTTCGGAAGATTTTCTGAAGTTGAATTTATTTTGGAGAATTGGAAGTGGAGATCTTTGATCAGGGGAAAGGCCCTAAGGTCTTGAGTGGAGTTGCCGATAGGAACCATCGCCGGGTGATCCGCCGTACTATGGGGGAAAAGAACTACAACATACATTGATTCATTTTCATACGCTATGACTTGGAAGATGAAAGCATATCGGAGGCTTGAAAAAAAAAGCAATTTTCTATGTTCAATCGGTGAGGAACGCCGATAGAAAAAAAAAAATTCCTGGAAGGGGAAACAAAGCTATTTGAAAATAGCTTCAACTATGGACGCAAGGAGTAATATTTGAATATTTGCCCAATTATTTCCTATTTACACTCCGTAGTAGATATTGATCTATTAAAATCAACCCAAATTACCGATTTGATCAATTTATACTATCACTATGCGGTAATGATGGCGTTGTCGGAACTGATGGCCCACCTGCGCCCATAGCCAAGGAATATTTCCGAGAATCTCCAAAAGTTGCAGAGTTGCAGAGTTGCAGAGCTGCAGAAGTATCTTCTACCAAGCCATCGATCATTATGCAAGGGTTTCGCTACCGCCCTGAACTTATGGAAGGCCTACCCGAAGAGCTCACCAAGGAGCTTAAGAAATATGAAGATTGGTTCTGGCTGGATCCGCCCAAGTTGAAGACGATCTCTGATCACTTCGCTAAGGAATTGGAGAAAGGCCTTACCGTTGAGGGTGGGTCTATTGTCAGTACCAATTGACCCAAGAAAATGTGAATATAGAGTAGATGCTGACTGGAATATTGGCGGGAATTGAAGCCTATGAACGTCACATGGATCATGAGATATCCAACAGGTCAGGAGAAAGGACGCATTCTCACAGTTGATCTGGGGGGAACCAATATCCGTGTATGTGATGTCTGTCTTTCCGCGGGAAAGAGAGACTTCGAGCAACGTCAGCGAAAATACAAGCTTCCAGAAGAAGTCAAGACAACCACAAAAGATGCCCTGTGGGGATTCATTGCGGACCGAATCAAATCGTTCCTCAGTGAGAGTCACAATGATACTAGTGCTTCTGATTCAAACCCAATACCGCTGGCGTTCACATTCTCATTCCCAGTAGAGCAGAAGTCTATCCGCAGCGGCATTCTGCAGCGTTGGACCAAAAACTTCAATGTTTCCGGAGTGGTAGGGCACGATGTGGTACCTCAGCTAGAAGAGGAACTTGCAAAAAGAGTAAGTTCCCATTGAATAACAAGAGAGCCGGGGCTGATCAAACTAGAACGTCCCAGTGAAACTGGTCGCCCTCATCAACGACACAGCGGGGACCCTCATTGCATCACGTTACCGGGATCCGCAGGTAAAGATTGGTAGTATCTTCAGTACTGGCTGCAATGCAGCGTACATGGAAGAATGTCGGTTGATACCGAAGCTGCGCGATTCAGCACTGCCCGAAGATGCAACCGTAATCATCAACACCGAGTACGGTTCCTTTGATAACGAGCGTAAGGTGCTGCCCTTGACTCCATTTGACCGACAGATCGACAACGAGTCCGCCCATCCAGGCAGGCAGATCTATGAGAAAATGGTGGCTGGTTTGTATATAGGAGAGATGCTGCGCCTGGTGATGCTGAAAATGCATGAGGCAGGTTTACTCTTCAAAGGGCAAGATGTCTCACGTCTTCGGACTGCGAACTCATTGGAGACGTCCTTTCTATCTACCGTCGAGATGGACATGTCGGAGAGCCTAACCGACATGAAAGAGGAGTTCATGGATAGCCTAAATCTGGAACTGTCGCTAGATGAACTAAAGGCGTGTCGCCTTCTTATCGGCCTGATCGCGATGCGTGCGGCGCGTCTCTACGCGTGTGGAATTGCGGCCATCTGCAAAAAGAAAGCGATCCGTCAGTGCCACGTTGGGGTTGACGGCTCGGTGTTCAGTAAATATAGTATGTTGAAGGGACGAGTAACCCAGGGTCTTCGTGATATCTTTGGTTGGGACGAAAACAGGTTGGACATGATTGCTCTGAACTCGGCCGAGGATGGGTCTGGAGTAGGAGCAGCATTGGTTGCGAGTTTGACTCTTGACCCGAGTGAGCTAGAAGATTGCAATACGGAGGATATGTAAAATTTAATACTATCAAGCTATTCCGAAGTTGCGAGAAGAGAGTTGTCGACGTGAAATCGTGATCTCTGCCATAGACGATAGCGATAAGCACTTTATTTGAGAATCCTGAGGTCCTCCCTCCATCATTAACTCACACAATGCGGTTCCGAACACAATTAAGAGACAGCCGGACCTTCTCTAGTAAGACTAATCATTAAAATAAAGGATTTGAGCTAACTAAACCAGAGCTCACCGCATCGCTGTCCTCGCTGGGCAAGGTATGTTGGATGCGCCTGGAGTACGAAGTCATCCGCTTTACCATCATACCCGACCAAGGCACACAAGTGTGGGCATCAATACCAGTCGTATGTATAATGATATGACCTCCTCGATCATGTTATCTATATATTGACTATTTTTCAGGGAACCATTTTCGACGACACGACCTACGAGTTAGAATCTAATTCCGACGCCATAAACATCGAAGTCAACATCAGCGTTCTAAACCGAGCCCTGCGTTCCGCCTGGGGCTCAACACATACACAGCTCCGCCTAACTAAAAAAGACAAAACCCCCCTCTTAGCACTAACAGTCCTCGCATCAGAATGGACAGAGGGAAACATAGCCTTGGCCACCAATAATGACGCAGATGGCTTTGGCGACGACTCAAACCCAGAAGCTCCAGCCGATACGACAGGTGATCGAGGACCACGCGAGCGCCAGACATGGATCACCCAAGAAATCCCCATCAAGATCCTCCACGAGTCAGCAGTCGAAGGCCTGCACGAGCCGCACTGCCCAGACCCCGAAGTGCATATCATCCTACCCAATCTAGCGCAGTTGAAGAGCATCTCCGATCGCTTCACAAAACTTGCATCCACAGATAGTAAAAGCCGACAGCCCGGTGTGATGGCGCCCGAAGCGCCGGGGATGCACTCTGTTTCTTTCAGTGGGCCGGGCGCTAACACAGCTGCTACGGCACTGTCCACCAACTCGTCTCCCAAGCTTGAATTATCTGCTAATATGCATGGTTCACTACGGCTGGCTATTGCTACGGACGAGCTGCGCATCGCGAGTGTCTGGTCTGATCTCGTGAACCCGCCGTTAGACCCTGCGCAGATGAGCCAGGAGCAGATGAGCCAGCTGCCTAGTGAGCTTAATCGGAAGCGGGAGGCAAGTGAGGGATTCGAGTCTGGTTGGGCTAAGGTACGGATTGATGGAAAGGATTGGAGTCGGGTGCTTAGTATTGGGAGACTCAGCCCCAAGGTTGTTGCCTGTGAGTTTTTTGCTGGTGGTGTAATTGGAATTGCTGTTCGCTGGTGCAAGTACTGACCCAATTTCTCATTCGCTGCGGTTAGGCTTCGTCAATGAAATGGCACTAGTTCTTTACGTTTATCTTCCAGGTAATCCAAATGGAGAGGAATCTTGTTTAACGGTGAGTTGACATTGCTGCAAGAACGCATTCCTCTAGTAACCAAGCCTTCTAACACTCACGTTTTAGTATTATATCAATTCATTCACCACATGATAATGTGCTGGAACTTGAACTACAATTTTTATTTTTATTTTCCAAAATTTCAGGTGTTCAAAGATTGGAATGAATTATTAGATATCGTTATTAAAACAGGTGCATGTCAGAAGCCATGCAAGAAGAAACCTCCAGTTCCAGAAAATTCCAGCAAGCAACGAAATGCCAGGCCAGAAAACAGCAAGCGGAGGAGGGTGATATACATAGTGCCAGGAGTACGAGCCCTTGACTCCATGGATGAGGTCGCGCCAAAGAACAGCAAAGATCAAGCTATGTGCAAAAGCAAGGCATCGGATGACGTTCAGTGAGCGAGAATGCAGAGAGATGGCGTGTCTGCCGGGGCAAGAAACAAGACACATGCAGGATGCTGGGGCAATGACAAATCTAGTAACAGGGGGTTGTATTATTGAAGGGTAGGGGGATGCGCTTCATCAAAGAAATCATGTGGTAACAAATAAGAGGCATAACGATGAAACAAACATAATAGAACAAAAGAAAAGGACATTATAGCACTTAGTTGGTCGGGAGACTGGTAAGCACTATATCATCGGGAATTCAGATGAAGTCCGATGATCATTGGGCCATCACGTCAACGTAACGACCCTTCTTCTTGCCGCGAACAGTGTTGCCCTTGCGCGCCTGGGGCGCACCGATCAAATCGTCGATTGAGCTGGCATGAGTCAAGGACGAAGAAGGCCGTGGCGGGGGACCGCTGGAACTACCGGGCGGTGTTGGCATAGCCGCTCCAGTGGAAACAGACCGAGGTGCAAGACCAGAGAAGGCTGGGCTGGAGGACAAGAAAGGTGGGGCGGCGGTTGAGGAGGATTGAGGCCGGCTCCCAGATACCGACATCGGGGGCATCGGAGGTGCACCATTTGGTGGTATGCTGCCCGAGCTCGCAGTTCGACTAGGGGGAGCGAATCCTCGGGGAGGGGGCGGGGTGGCATGGACCGGCGTGCTACTACCGGGGTCTTTCTTGTTGACCCATTTCTTGAGATCCTTGTCGTAGTAAAAGGAGCTCTCTTCGCCAAGTTTGGCTCTGATGGGACCGCCACCGGAGTTGTTTTCCTCTTTCTTGGCTCCGCCGAACCAACCACCAAACCAGCCCTTCTTTCCAGATTGTTGGGCATCTTTCTTAGCTGCAGCAGACGATAGGTTAGCAAGTGAGCTGAGAGACAGGCGTTGTTGATACATACCATCTTCCTCGGCGGCTTTCGCGAACGCTTCATTTGTCTTGCGATCATTCTCCGCCTTTTGGATAGCCGCTGCCCGGGCAGCAAGATCATCGTCGTCGTCATCCATAATTGACTGCTTCTTTGGCTGCTCTGCAGGAGATGGCAGATCATCGTCCTGGGCAGCATATCCCATATCTACACCGGCCGAAATGGGCTCGTAAGAAACCGGCTCATAAGACGAGCCGGCAACGGGAGGCGCGTAGGGTGACTCTGAGTCTGATGTGCTAGCTGGCATACCAGGGGGGCCTTGGTAATATGGGGATTCGCTTGATGTGGCGGATAGTCCTGGGGGCTGGTAAAACAAGCCGTTCACCATAGGCTGTGCAGCCGGGGGAGCTTCTGTGGGTGACATAGCTTCTTCTACCGGAGCAAGAGGAACGTAAGAAGACTGGGGCGGTGTTGCTTGGTACCCAGTCGCGTTTGGTGACCCATACACTGGAGCTCCATAGGACATCTGTTGATCAATCGAGGGCGAAAGTTCTTGTGAGCTTCGACGCTGTCCAACAGGGGGGAAGTAGGAAGCAGATCTCTGAGAATCCATTGAAGATCGGCCCTTGAACTGCTCAGGCGAGGCATTGGGCGCATATTGGCTCGATGGGTGATACTTGGACGCGCCGCTTGTAGGAATGGGCTGCGCTCCTGCCGCTGCTCCAGGATAAGACCCGTAGATGTCAGATACAGAAGGTGAGCGGCTAATTGTGGGGGTACCGGCCACGTTCGCGAAAGGACCAAATTCCGCATGCTCGCCACCCTTACCGGATCCAGTCGATGCAGCATCATTATCATCGCCTACCACGAAACTATTGAAACGAGCCCACATGGACCCCGAGACCTTCTCCATGCTTGGCCTCGAGATCCAAGAGCCACTATCACTGGTTGTTTGACGCAGACGGGCAGACAGCTCTTCAACTTCCCCAAAGAGGTGCTGGTGATAGTACGGCGAGGGACGAGTGGTTGCTTTCAATGCCGCTGCCACTGCGTCGCAATAGCCTTGCGCCTCTAGATTGCGACCTTGGTCTACGAGGCACCTGGCATTCAGGATCTTGAAGGCCAAAAGATGTGGCATATGGGCTGTTGGAGAGTTACCGAGAACAGACGTAGCATACTCATAGGCCTCAGTCAGCAGGATAGCATCTTCATCCATCAAGGAAGAAGGGCAACGCTGATGGTCAGCACCAAGGAGAGTGATGTTGGCCTTTGGATCATCGGGGCCACCGAAAACCGCAGCACGCGAGAAGATGTAACAAATGTGAGCCGCGTCTGTCCGTCCATAAGAAGTCAACAGGCGGCCGAGGGAAAACAGGGCCTGGTGATCCTCAGAACTTCGGTTACTCAAAACCAGTCCCAAGGTATCCCTCCACTTGTCTAAGCCCTCGAGAGCATTCTTAGTAGAGCCCTGGCCATCGGCCTTGCTAATAAGCTGCAGACCTGCTCGGGCAGAAGGGGGAACAAGTTCATCAATACTCTCTTCAATATTTCCAGCAAAGATTTCGTAGAGGGCTGCAAGTGACTCGGTGTTTGCGGATTTGGACCTGACTTCGCGGCGGACAAACTCCTGAGCGACCTGTTTTGAAATCGACTTGTCCATGGTGGATGAGATGATCATCGCATGTCCCCAAAGACGTCGATCGACAGCGCTCCAGACAGCCTTCTCTCGATCACCACAGATCAAGTGTAGGCGAAGCTCCTCCAACCACTGTGCATCAAGCGCATCAGGCTGCGAAGGCATTTCCGAAGAAGCAAACCCTCCCGAGGCGGCTAAGCTGCTGGTGTATGTTCCGTCTGCATCGGGGTTGGGTAGGTTGGGGAAGATGATCTGGCGGAGAGACTTTTGGATTTCAGGGGAACTCTCCAGATTACCATCATTTTCCACCAGAAGCTTGACAACCTTCCAGAGAAGAGTTTTCTCCTCCTGGCGTTTGCGCGTATCGGACTGCACTTGTTCGTAGCTTAGAAGGTCTGAATTTTCGAAGGCCGCAATCTTGTTAGAAAGCCAAGCAATCAAATCCTTCTTCTTTGATTTTGCCTTGAGGGGCCCAGGGTGCTGGACAATGCTATCAGCAGAGGGCAGCCATTCGCTCAGCTGGGATATTTTCGGTTCACCAAGAGTAGGTTGAATCATTGGCGCCACTTGTCCAGCGGAGTAGCGAGGAATGTGCCTAGGGAAACAAGATGCGATAGATCCGCCAAACCCGAATTTGAAGATCGGAGCACCCTTCCATCGCTCCAGAGGATCATGCTCTTGTCCATCATTCGGGACGACAAATTCCAGGTACTGGGTTGGAGCGCGGGTTTGAGAAGTAGCCTGCACAGAAGCATACGGATTCACGGTTTTAGTCGGCGAGCCTGAAACTTGCACCGAAGCCGGCCGTTGGATAGCGTCGATGTTCTGTCCGTACGAACGCGGGCTCGTCAAGTCCCGGCCAGGTGACTGAGTCTGGGACCTGCGAAGTGGACCCATCTGGATATCGCTAGGGGGTGGAGACATATATACATTCGTCGCGGGAGCAGGGGGGGCGTGTTCTTGAGCCGGCGCGAGACGCTGGGCAAATTCATTGAGATATTCCTGAGGAGCGTAGCGACTTTGAGGCGGAGATGGCTGGACAGGTGAGCCTGCACTTTCTCTCCGCGGCAGGCTGGCAGGACCATTGAGATATTGTGGAGCACTAGGTGGGAATTGTCCAAAGCTAGCTCCTTGCCCGCGCGGCGGAGATAGATTGATTGCAGGCTCGAGAGATGGTGGCTTGTGTGATTGATCAGGCTGGTAAGAAATCTTTTCATGGTGTGCAAGCGGACTTGAAGTCCGTGGCTGGAAAGGCAAATTTTGGCCAGGAACATTAAGTGGCTGTGAGGCATAACGGTTGCGAACAGAAGAGGTAGGAGGGGGCGCAGGGGAATATCTCGGTAACGAAGGTGGCTTTGGGGGTGCTTGCAAGCCAGGAGGTTGAGGAGAATACCTTGCAATGGCAGGGGGTCCGGCCGGGGCACTCGATGCTAGACTAGCATACGGATCCAGCTGTTCAGGTGGCTGAAGTGTGGATTGAATTGGGAGTGCGATATGCTGTGGGGGAGGCAGTGCGGCAGGAGGATATTGGACCTGAGGGGGAGGAAGAGATGACCCGGTCATCGTTGACACCGCCTGCGGATTAGGGGTGTACCGACCTGAGCTGGCAGGCCGAGACCTTGGCGGCCCCAGAGGAAGTTCCTCGTAGAAATTCTTCGGCGCAGGAGGAGCGGACACAGATGACGGGGGAGCTCCCGGAGTGGAGAAGCCAGCAGCCGGAATCGGTACGCCAGAAACACCTGGGGGAGGAGGTGGAAGCATACTAGTCACTGTTGGAGGAACAGGCTTGTGGGTAGCGACCGGCTTTCGGGGTCGGGAGATATCATCCGGAAGGTCATAAGGAGATTTATAGCCCTCTTTTGACCGTTCAGCAAAGCTCTCTCCCCGGGTTGCCACAGGGTTCTGCGGTGGCTGCGAGAAATATGATGGCATCGCTCCAGTGGCTGGCGGGGCAGTTCCTGGAAGAGGAACACCCTGCAATAGGTCACCAGTGGACGGTTGATGGGGTGTGTATATGTTGGAAACAGGCCTTGGCTGAGAAACGGCCTGAGGAGTCTGGAGCGGACTGTTAAAGCCAGCCGACAAACCATTGTGCGTAGGCTGAATATGGCTTTGATCGATATACTCCTGTGCAGAGGCAGGCTGAACGGCTTCAGTTTCCAGCAGTATATCGTCATCGTCCAATGCCGCCTCCCAGCGAGCCGCCAGATCATCATCCGGTGAATCGGCTAACTCGGCTTCCCACCGTGCCGCTAGCTCTTCCTCCGAGGGGTCGGCTGTTGTTTGGGGCTCCAACGATGCAGCCTTCAGTGCATCATCAAACTGCGCTGCAGCCGAGGCGTCACTAACCGGGGAGTCAAGAGCAAAGCTAGCCGATTCCAAGACCTGAGACGTGCTCTTTCGGGCGAAATGAACAACTGGTTGCTCCTCGGCCTCTTCCTTTGAGGTAGAGCCGAAGAAATCCTCATCGCCGTTATTGTCTTCTAGCTTTGGAGCCGAGCTGAAGAAGCCATCTGCATCGTCCTCGTCGTTGGAAAATACGTTGTCGATAGATTTATCTTCTTCCAGTGGGCGTTGAGGCGAAGCCGGTGTAGACTCATCTAACAATGGGACTCCTTCCTCGAACCTAGACTCGGCTTCTGGTGGCGCAAAGATAGGCTTTGTCTGGCTGTTGAGTTGATTAAAAAAGTCGTCCTCGCCAGAGTCGACTTCACCGCTCGACTCGCCTGTCCAGAAAGGTTGATCCTGAGTGGCGGTATACACGTCCGCTGCGGCTGAATCTGGATGGGCCTCGTTAGTCGGCGTAAAGGCCTCCACGATAGGAGCTGGTGGGTCGGTATTCTCAGATTCAACATTTATCGAGCGAGACACGAGATCAGCTTCCCCATTTTCGGTCGAAGCGATAGTATTTTCAGTGGAGTTGAAGATATCAGTCCTCTCCTCGTCAAATGTCGCACCCGTAAATGCCGTTTCCTCTGGCGATGGACGAACAGCTTCTTCAACAAACTTTGGCTCATCGCTACCCTGGATTTGAGTAGAGGTTGAGACAAACTCTGGGATAGTATGGGAAGTTTTGTTAAGAGGGGTAGCCTCTTCGCTGGAGGGCAGAGTATTGCTAAGGCCCTTCTCAAAGGTGGCCCATGGATCCTCAGAATATGTATTCCCCTCGTCTGCTTGTGGGAACAGTTCTTCAGTTGGGGTGGGCTGAGTGGTGTATTCGTGTTTGAGAGTTTCCGACGTAGTTTCTGGTGCCGTTGTTTGCTCCTCTATCGAAGGTGTAGCGTCTCTCACAAATGTCGACTCTGTGGTTTCTTGTTCAAGCGCGACAGCTGGAACGGTATCAAAGGTTTCGGTTTGAACGGAGGCTGGCCCGTCAATAGTGGTGAAGAAACTATTACTAGCCTCCGCACCAGATTGATCTGGAGGTGCTTCGGTCTGAACTGGCTGCGTGGGCTGCGTTTCTGGCAGGGTCGGGTTTAGGGCGGTATCTGCATTCTCAATAGATGGCGCGATAGTTGTATGAGCCGCTTCAATATTCTCATCGGGTTTTTGACTCTTCTTATCGATGGAATCAGTGTCTAAGCACACAGCCTGGTCCACCACTGGTGATGCATTGTTCACTAGCACGTCCAAGCTCGTGTATTGAGGCTGAATCGCGTCTACCTCATCCGACATATCCCAGGCAGAGAAATCCTCACTCTGTGGAGACACGATATCGTCTAGGGACTTGTCCTTTGGCTCATCCGCCGCAATCGGATCCGACAAACTACCCTGAATCGAGCTCATCGTGGCAGAAGAGTTATTGTTCTCAGGCCGTAATGCCGGATTCCATGACTCCAAATCATTGTCGGTCGCTTGGTGCGCCATATGTGCAAAGTTGTTCTCGATTGCCAACGTGACTGGAGATGGGGGGGGTGCAGTCCGGAGGGACCAACCTGACACGTCTCCAATGACGCCTCAGGAGATCAACAATCGTAAAGAAAAACGGGGGTCGACGGCGTCAATTTAAGAATCCATTAAACGTTGCAGATATAAAGGAGGCCAAAAAGCTCAAAGAAATAAATCGATCATGAATGCATCAGCTGATGGCGAAGAAAACCAAGCAGTCGGATTGTACTGGAATAATGCGACAGCAACGGGGCCATCTCCGCCTATGATTCCCCCGAGGGCCAAATGAGGGCGCTGAGTCATCAGTTCTTCTGTTCCGAATAGGAAAAACACAAACCCGTGATTCGGATTATCGGATAGTCCGGCCGTTTGATATGTACATAACCTTAAAGGTGCAGTATTACGTCAGCCAATTATCACTGCGAGTTATGCACTCATGTGATTGCGTGGCCCCGACAGGCAGTCATCGACCGTCCTTAACTGAGACTCAAAGCGGTTCTCCGTTTTATATATCCCGCGATTTCTTATAATCGTGGTGTTGATTGCAATTTACACAAAGAAGCGTTTCGTTTCTTTTTTTTACCCTAGCAGCAACTCCCCACTCTTTCATCATCATGCTGCACATGTACCGCACATGACAACATATACTTGAGATGAACCTTCCTTTGATGCAAGGCCCCAAAGCACCATCTTCCATGAAGCCAGCAATCGCCTTTACTTGAACCATACCAGTTTTCCCATAATGCCTTCCTCATCCGACTACCTACACCCCCTAGACCATCCCGATGCGCCAGACGCCTTCTCGGACTCAGACGACGACTTGGATCTAGAAGAGCTAGACCCCGGTACGACATCCCCTCAACAGCCTCGTGAGTCTCATGACTATACTGGCCGCAAAAGAAGCTATGGGCCAGGTATTGCGCTGCGCAACTTGCGCGTCGGAGCGGCAAGTCGATGGAGACGCAGTGCGTCTGGACATGCAGACTTGGAGGATGATATGGATGCGCTTCTAGAGAACGGGGAGGAACAAGCCTTACGAGACTCACATGCAAGCTCCCGGAACCTAGAAGACGACGATGCACCTCTCCTAGATCGCAGAACCTCGACTCGCGATTTCAACGATGAGCCTCCTAGGAAAGGCAGCCGCTTGCGCTTCCCAATATTCAAGACTCCCGCATTCCTGCAGGGCACATCAATTCGATTTGGATCAAGTGATAACGACCCTGAGAACCAACCTCCCCGTGAAGTACTTGTCGGGCAGCATCAAGCTGCTAAATATCCAGCCAATGTGGTCTCGAATGCAAAATACACACCCTGGAGCTTCCTACCGAGAACCCTGTACAACGAATTTTCCTTCTTTTTCAACATCTACTTCCTCTGTGTGGCTTTATCACAGGTCATCCCGGTGCTACGAATTGGTTACATGTCGTCATACATTGCGCCTTTGGCCTTTGTGGTTTCAATATCATTGGGTAAAGAGGCACTTGATGATATTGGTCGTCGGCGACGAGATGCCGAGGCCAATGCGGAAGAATACTGCACTGTAGCATTAGGAAGGTCCAACGCAATAGAGGTCATAAAAAAATCGCGGGACCTAAAGGTCGGTGATGTGCTCAAAGTCCGCAAGAACCAACGCCTCCCTGCCGATGTGGTGATTCTGAAGAGCATTTCAAATGACTCTGGCACTCCTCGTCATTCATTAACGGAAGAACCTGTCCCTGGGGCGTCTTCCGACTTGCTTGAACCACATCAGGGACCGTCCGAACCCACAGCCGACACCACGTCGAAGAGTGGTGAAAGTGTTGAAAATTCACCAGCAGGTGATACTTTTATCCGAACTGATCAATTGGATGGTGAGACAGACTGGAAGCTTCGTCTGCCTTCTATGCTGTCTCAATCGCTCCCTCTGAGCGATTTAAGTCGACTACAAATCACAGCTAGCGCTCCTGATAAGAGGGTCAACGAATTTGTCGGGACTATTGGGCTGGGACCACCCACCGGATTCTATGATGCTCATGTCGACAAATCGTCCGTTCCTCCAAACAACGAAGGGACGCCTAGGCCTGTGGAAAATCAATCAGCTCCCTTGACAATCGACAATACCGCCTGGGCCAACACTGTTCTTGCGTCTAATACCATCACCTACGCCGTCGTCATCTATACAGGATCTCAAACCCGCGCTTCGCTTTCAACTTCCGCTTCCCGGTCGAAGACTGGCCTGTTAGAACTCGAGATCAACAACCTCACCAAAATTCTCTGCGTCCTCACATTTACTCTCTCCATCATCCTTGTCGGGTTGGAAAGATTCCAACCAACAAACGACAAGAAATGGTACGTTGCGATCATGATCTATCTCATTCTCTTCTCCACGATCATTCCCATGAGTCTTCGGGTCAATCTGGACATGGCGAAGTCCGTATACGGGCGGTTTATCGAACGGGACAAAGACATTCCAGGAACGGTCGTTCGCACCAGTACAATTCCAGAAGATCTGGGAAGAATCGAATATCTGCTTTCAGATAAGACGGGAACGTTGACACAAAATGAGATGGAGCTCAAAAAGATACACGTTGGCACGGTATCATACGCCAATGAGGCAATGGACGAAGTCGCCTCATTTATTCGCCAAGCTTTTGCATTTTCGGGCAATACCCTGATTACCCCTTCGACTGCCTTTGGAAATCAGGTCGGCCATGCCGCTGCGCCGCGGACAAGAAGAGAGATTGGTTCCCGCGTCCGGGATATCATCTTAGCGCTTGCTCTCTGCCATAACGTCACACCGACCACAGAGGAGGAAGACGGCCGGAAGGTGACAAGCTACCAAGCGTCATCACCTGATGAAATTGCCATTATTCGATATACCGAAGAGGTTGGATTAAAGCTAGCATATCGAGACAGACAAAGTATCGTCTTAGAATCCACCGACTCCAAGCAGGTTGTGGTCCGAGCTCGAATTCTCGACATCTTTCCATTCACATCCGACTCAAAGCGAATGGGGATTATCGTCCAATTCCAGCACGATGAAAACATGCTTGAATCTGGCAAAGACGACAGTGAAATTTGGTTCTATCAGAAGGGTGCAGACACTGTCATGACAACTATTGTTGCAGCGAATGACTGGCTTGACGAGGAGACTACCAACATGGCTCGGGAAGGGTTGCGAACTCTCGTAGTTGGGCGCAAACGAATCTCCGCACAGCAATACCAGGACTTCTCTACTAAATACAAACAAGCGTCGCTCTCTTTCCAGGGGCGAGATGCAGGAATGGCCAAGGTTGTGAGCGAATACCTTGAACAAGATTTAGAGCTTTCTGGTGTGACCGGCGTGGAAGATCGGCTGCAGCGCGACGTCAAATCCTCCCTCGAGCTGTTACGCAATGCTGGTGTTAAGATCTGGATGCTGACGGGTGACAAAGTGGAGACGGCGCGTTGTGTCGCTATTTCTGCCAAGTTGGTCTCCCGGGGCCAGTACATCCACACAGTCACCAAAGTCACAGACAAGTCGACTGCACAAGAAGCTCTTGACTTCTTGCGTAACAAGACTGACTGCTGCCTGCTGATTGATGGCGAGTCCTTGAACCTCATGCTTGGCCAATTTAAAACAGCTTTCATCTCTGTCGCGGTGCTGCTACCCGCCGTGGTCGCATGCCGATGCTCCCCCACTCAGAAAGCTGAGATTGCGGACCTGATTCGGCAACACACAAAGAAACGCGTTTGTTGCATCGGAGATGGCGGCAACGATGTCTCGATGATTCAAGCAGCCGATGTTGGAATTGGCATCGTGGGCAAGGAAGGCCGCCAAGCATCTTTGGCCGCTGATTTCAGTATCACGCAGTTCCACCATATCACCAAGCTTCTAGTCTGGCACGGCCGCAACTCGTACAAGCGGTCTGCTAAACTGGCACAGTTCATCATGCACCGTGGGTTGATCATCAGTGTTTGCCAGACTATGTACAGCATCGCTAGCCACTTCGATCCCAAGGGCTTGTTCATTAACTGGCTCATGGTTGGCTATGCGACTGTCTACACCAACGCACCGGTCTTCTCTCTCGCCTTTGATCGGGATGTCGACGAGCGTCTCGCTAATCTCTACCCAGAGCTTTACAAAGAGCTCAAGACAGGAAAGAGCCTAAGCTACCGCTCGTTCTTTGGCTGGGTTCTCATTTCTGTCTACCAAGGTGCAGTGATCCAGGGCTTGTCTCAGATATTGTTGGATACCATCTCAGGGCCGCGCCTAATTAGTCTTTCATTCACGGCCCTCGTCCTCAACGAGCTTGGTATGGTCGCCACTGCAATCACAACCTGGCACCCAGTCATGATCTTCTGTCTGATTGGTACACTGCTTGTATACGCAGGCAGTGTTCCCTTCCTGGGTGAGTACTTCGACCTTAGTTACGTGATCACCCTTGACTGGCTGTGGCGAGTTTTCGCTGTGCTAGCCGTGTCTCTGGTCCCGGTCTGGGCTGGAAAAATGATCAAACAATCGTGGCACCCCCCAAGTTACCGAAAGGTCCGTGGATAGAGTTGGTGCTTGTCATGACTTCGGTGTACCATAGCCATTCTCTCGCTTGGATTCTTCATCTCTCCCTTCTGCCCTAACTACCACCGATCTGGTATCATGTGGCTCTGTATATTAATCTCAAGCATGTTGTCTTGTTGAGCGCATCTAGCATCGGGCTACTTCTATACTATTAAAATATTCAATCACTTCAGTTCTATCCTTGGGACCACTTAGGCAGTACTTGCTGTGAATTTCACGTAGTGTTAAGAACATCTCCATCACTTCTCTCGTGATGACATATATATGTACTGTGCCTATTCTATCCTCATTGACTTTCAATTCTTTACAATGCATATTATATATCTTTATCATAATGTTACATTATTCTAACCTTCTCTCTATTAATTATTAAAGGCCTTTTAAGCCATACTTGTAAGATATGCGCTGTTCTATATAGTACGCAGTAGTGGATGCCAACCGTGGAAGGCGGATCCCCGGGGCCATCCAATGACGTTACGTGCAATCGATAAGCAAACACGTGACTATCCTACTCAGGAAGGCGGTCAATACATATCGAATCTTTTTTTTTTCTTCGGGGTCAAACATCTGCTGCATAGACTCTAGGACCAACCACTTTTTCGGTTGCCAATTCCTCGCCCATCATGTCTGACGAAATTGTCTGGCAGGTTATCAACCAGCAATTCTGCTCCTACAAACTCAAGTGAGTATTGCTCTTCACTCGCCGGATATTCAGTCCGCAGAACCTTTTATCTTCATTATGCATGGATAGAAAAACAAGAGCCTTCCACTAACCATTCCAATCTGCTCTCTAGGACGACGAAAGACCAAAATTTCTGTCGCAATGAATACAACGTCAGTGGTCTGTGCAATCGCCAGTCCTGCCCACTGGCCAACTCGCGGTATGCGACGGTGCGAAGCGACCCCGAAACAGGCGTCATGTACCTGTACATGAAGACCGTCGAACGAGCCCACATGCCCAGCAAATGGTGGGAGCGCGTGCGCCTGTCCTCCAACTATGCCAAGGCCCTCGAGCAAGTCGATGAGCGTCTTATCTACTGGCCCAAGTTCTTGACCCACAAGTGCAAGCAGCGTCTCACCCGCCTGACGCAGGTCAGCATTCGCATGAAGAACATCGCCAAGGAGGACGAGCGTCTCGGAGAAAGGGTTGTGCCCAAGCTGGCGCCGAAGGTCCGCCGCCGTGAAGAGACTCGTGAGCGTAAGGCCGAGTCTGCGGCCAAGGTCGAGAGAGCCATTGAGCGTGAGCTTATTGAGCGTCTGCGCAGCGGCGCTTACGGTGATCGGCCACTCAATGTCGAGGAGGGTATCTGGAAGAAGGTTCTCCGTGGCCTTGAGCGGGCTGGTGACGGTGAGCGTGATGTGGATATGGATGATGGTGAGGAGCTTGAGGAAGAGGAAGAAGAGGGCGTCGGTGAGGTCGAGTACGTCAGCGATCTCGATGAGGAGGAGGACCTCGAGGATATGGAGGACTGGCTGGGTGTCGACTCAGCCGACTCCAGCGACTACGATGACGATGAGAGCGAGGATGATGACAGCGAGGATGACGAGGAGGCTAGCGAGGATGAGAAGAAGCCCAAGCCCAGTGCTAAGAGGAAGCATGTTGCTCCCCAGACGAAGCCTCGCAAGAAGGGACCTCGCATCGAGATCGAATACGAGACCGAGGGTGCTGGCAAGGACCAGGTCATGGCATGATTCTGTCAATGTTAGGGGATTTGGGAAAAGTTTACCTGATCTTGCATGGCGTTCGGGCTGTCAATTCTTTTGTTTTATATTCTTATTCTGTTCTAGTGATCGGGCATCATACCCTGCTATATTGCATCCACTACAACTCACGATCCTAGATCTTCCAATGTCTATTTTATCTTCCACTGTACCGCTCGGTATCTCTTTTATTCCTGAGATGTCTGAACATAATTTATTTGAGACAAGACTTGACCGTTGCTTTATTTAGGTGAAACACGTGATCACGTGGCCCGATGAATGCGCTCCGCTCTCGTTGCCTTTCATTTTCCTTTGAGCGTCTTCACCTCACCTCAGGAGCCGGTTCTTCTGTTAATAACCCAATTAATAATCCATTGCAATTATCCTCATCTCTTGTCTAACTCTTTGACCTTAAATCTCTTGCATTGGCTCTCCGCGAGTAAACCTCCAGCTCCGCGCCAACCCACCCCGCATCGAAGCTGCCATTCTGCAGACCGCGCATTGCTCAATCACACTACTCAGCTGCTACACGATGAGCTCGTACTTTACATCTTTGACCAGCGGCTCGGCCATCTCTGGCCTGGGCTCGCGGCTCACCAACCTTCGCCGTGCCATTACCCTAGGCGATGAGGGAGACGACCCCGAGAATGAAGACTGCTCCCACATCTCCAACGCCCTTCGCGCCTACTACACCGAAAACGGCCGTCCATTCCCACCATGGCTCCCACAAGACCCCAAGGGTCCAGCTCCGGCCCCCTCCCGCCAGATTGCGACTTCACAGCTACCCTCTGGCAGCTACAACCAAGGGCCCGCCAACTCCGGTCGGAGCGGCGGTCTAGGTGATCTATGGGGTGATTCTCCCTCATCCCAAGGATCGATCCCACAGACAGCCAGTCTTCGTCGCGGACGTGGTGGCACAGCACCACCGCTCGGATCAGCCAACAGCGCGCCCCCGGGCCCGGCCATCACACTTTCTCAGTCCCATTCGCCTGCTGGATCGGGATCCCCTAGTCCAGCTGGAGCGCGGCCATTGCCCAGCCAGCGAGCTGGGTCGAGTCAGTCTGCCCAGACGCGTCCGATTCTCGACCGTGTTGGATCGGGTGGTGGTTCAGCCCAGGACCGACTGCGGGCTAGATTACAGGGAGGAAGATCTCCTAGTCCCAATGTTGATCCCAGTGTTCGGAAGCCTGTTGGAATGTCTGGAAGACGATGAGAGTGTGGAGGCTTACATTGCATGGTGGAGAGCATGGCGTCGGGAGTTATTTCATGTCCAATGTTTATCGAGTACATATCTTAATGATAAATTTCATTCAATGATGTTTGAGTAATTCCTAAATTTATACCTCGTGCATTATAGCACGATGTTGTCATATGTTCGAGAGTTCACGCAGATTTCCCTGATTCGATTTTTTTTCTCCACGCTTCAGGGATACATTAGGCTGAATCCCTCAAAGACTTACGGAGCCTCAGTCTTACCACTGATGGGGTAGAGATCACCCCACCATCACATAACTAGAATTGCTTAGTGGCAGCCACCAAATCCAAGCAACAGCCAACGAATGACTATCCCTGCTTGCGCTGGGTAAAACCCCACATTTTCTCAAACCCGACAAGCCCATCCCGTGTTTGAGGGGCCGTGATGCCCCGAGCCTGTACAACAGGAGAATGAAACATAAGCATCTCGAGAGTTGGTTTTCAGTCATTGGCGAAATTGGAATAGTTGATGGGCCCAAGCCACAGAAGTCATGATATGCCCCCATTATTTCCCCCGAAAGTCGCTGATGTATGGCAGACCCCAGCCCAATTGCATGCCGCTAGCGTCTTAAGGTTCAAGTCCCGGATTATTCATGCGCCATACAACTATCTTTTGTTCGGCTATCGACATATTCGGCTTCGAGTGTCGGGATTGTCTTTTTTTCGCAGGATTCACTCTGTCCAATACAATCCAGGTATATATAGTACTGTGATACATGCCGACACAGCGGGAAGCCGGGAAGATTCCAGAACTACTCGTGGATGATGCCAACCACATTTGAACGATCTGCAAGATCTAAGGTTCATATTCCATAGATTGGCTGTTGTGTGCCCTGGAATGGACGACACAAGCTTTGATGGCCCACGATTCGTCTGGAATCCCGAAGGCTTGTCTCTCTACATTCTAATCCTTGCTGTACGCCTGCTGTACACTGCATATTCCCGATTATAGTCCTATGTTTGCCTCCCGGTGAGACAGCGTCTTCTTTCTTCGCCTTCTTCTCAACTTGATCTGATCTCCCTAGACTGTCCTGGTTCCCCAACTTCTCTCCACACATGGGAAAGTACGGAGTACATACTTCAGAGCCTGGGTCACGACTCGGCCAATCCCTGCACCATAGCGCGTCTCCGGGTTGTTTCTTTGCCTTCATATTTGTCGAACCCCTACACCGAGTCTTTGTCGTAATATCAACCGTCGCCGTGATCGCCATCTAGACGACCATAAATAGTCCTGCATTTTCCTGCATGGCTCTGCCGGATGGCGTCCGCGCTTCTTCCATATTTGTCCTCCATTATCTATAAGTACCGGGCTACCTACCCCAGAAGAGCCCAAAGTGATAGTTCCACTCCACTGTTATACTTTATATCCTTTAGTAGACTCCTCACACAAACCATCTCTTGAGAGGTCTCCTTCATCATGGCCGACCTCAAAGATGTTGAGGCGCCCCAAAATACGCACAGCGAAGATAAGGATGCCGCTGCCTTCGAGATGGACGATGTGAAAGACCCAAAGCTTCAAAATAAGAGAAACGAAACCGTCATGGATGCAGAGCTGCTGCAGCTTGAAGAGCAAGTGCACAGTCTTCCCAGATCTCGCTTCGAGATGACCCTATCCAACCCTGTAATCTTTACCTACATCCTCGTGGCTTTCGCATCGATGGGAGGTATGCTGTCTGGACTTGACCAGTCACTTATCAGTGGTGCAAGCCTTTACCTTCCCATTGACCTAGGCCTGTCCTCAGCGGACAACAGCCTAGTCAACGCCGGAATGCCGCTCGGAGCCGTTTTCGGTGCTCTTCTTTCTCCAGCGAACGAGTACCTCGGTCGTCGTATGGCCATCATCGTATCCTGTATTCTGTATACAATCGGCGCCGCCCTGGCGGCAGGCGCCATAAACTTCGGAATGGTTTTCGCTGGCCGATTCATTCTTGGAGCTGGTGTCGGTTTAGAGGGTGGTACCGTCCCAGTGTATATCGCAGAGTGTGGTATGTATCATCACATCCCACTCCACTTAGTCCCCCAATTCTAACTCCAATATCCAACAGTCCCTCGTAAACTTCGCGGTGACCTCGTCTCCCTATACTAACTAAACATTGCCCTAGGCGAAGTCCTCGGCTACGCTATCGCTGCCATGTTCCTCAGCGTCGAAGGAAACTGGCGTTACATCCTAGGCTCTTCATTGGTATTTTCGACAATCCTTTTCGTGGGCATGCTCTTCCTGCCAGAGAGTCATCGCTTCCTCATGCACAAGGGACGCGTGATTGAAGCTTACGCAGTATGGAAGATGATTTGCGGGTTCAACGACTTCGAAGCCAAAGATGAGTTCCTCGTCATGCTCCAAGCTGTCACAGCCGAGAGCCAATAGCAATCACAGAGGAACAAGTACCCTTGGATGGACTTCTTCACTGTGCCTCGTACACGCCGCGCAATGATCTACGCCAGTATCATGGTTTTCCTCGGACAGTTCACAAGTGTCAACGCAGTGATGTACTACATGTCGAAGTTGATGCAGGCAATTGGCTTCGGTGACAAGGACGCCGTTTTCATGTCTCCAGTCGGCGGTGGAGCGCTGCTGATCGGCGCCATCCCGGCCGTGCTGTACATGGAGCGATTCGGTCGTCGGTACTGGGCGAACGCAATGCTTCCGGGTTTCTTTATTGGTCTTGTGCTCGTCGGTGTTGGCTACACTATCGATGCTGATAAACACCCTTCTGCGGCGCAGGGGGTTTACCTCACCGGTATTGTGCTGTACATGGGATTCTTCGGCTCGTACGCTTGCTTGACGTGGGTCGTGCCTTCCGAGGTCTTCCCACGTACCTGCGTTCGTATGGGATGACGACTGCCGACGCTAACTTGTTCTTGTGCTCGTTTATCGTTACATACAACTTCACGCGCATGATGGAGTCTATGCAGCGGATTGGTTTGACGCTTGGATTCTACGGTGGTATTGCCGTCCTCGGTTGGGTTTACCAGATTATCTTCATGCCGGAGACTAAGAACAAATCCCTTGAGGAGATTAATGAGATTTTCTCGCTTCGTACTGCTGTTATTGCTAAGCGGAACTTGAAGCAGACTGCGCAGGTTATCCGGGACTTGTCGCGCTTCCGTCTTAAGAAGGTGTTTTCTCCTGAACCATACAACTAGGCTGGTGATGCAAATTTGTGAAATTAGATGGCAAATAATGAGATTGCTTTTTATTATTTTTTATGGTTCATGCTTCGTAGAAGGCGATGCAATGTCTTAATATATTATATACCTAAGTTATATATTCATCGTCATCTTTATTTCTATTCACGTATAACGGAAACACTTGTTGGTATAGAGATATAATGCATTTAATGCTAAAGACTTTCTCTTTGTATGCCCTGGCTAGTAGTTATAATGCTAGATTGCGAGTGCGGAATCGACCCGTATGCCAAAGAGCATACAGCGTTGAGCGTTCCCTTCTTCAATATGTATGCATCAACTAAAACTGAAGCCGTATCGTGCGATGTTGTTTTATGTAATTGTTGACATGGGCGAGACATCGTTTGAACTAGTTTCGGTTAGCATGATTTCAGCTGCGGCGCATATTTGAGCGCTACTTCCAAGAGGGCTTGATGTCTCCCATTCTTCTCCTCGTGCTCGTTGGGTTTTTTTCTCGCGTCTTATCGTGGCTCCCAAGTTTCACCCCCTGCTCTTCTTGTCTCGATTTCTTTTTAAGACTTTGCTTTTGTGTTCCTTCTGCCCTGCTCTCCTGCCTCTTCCCCGAGACATTTCTGGCGTCTTATCGTGGATCCCTTGGTCTTTGGTCCCGACCTGACAGCTTTCCAACGCCCGCTATCATGGGTTCCAAACTGGACTTTCTCTTATTTGGGAACTGCTCAATCGAGGCCCCAACCAGTGAAGAGCTTGATAAGATATCGCAATATCTACCACTCTTGAAAGCCTTTCATAAATCGCTCAAGACTCGTATGCGCTCTTATTTCTCGATAGCCCCACTTCTCAATAGCCAGCTAACGTATATTCAGGGTTGAAAGAGACGTGGGACTTTGGTACTGCGTTTGAGGATCTAGTTAAGCAGGATACCACGGTTTGGAAGAGTCTGGGGGTAGACCGATCTCCTCATTTCGTGCAGCCCAGCGGCTCCATCAACTCACCCCTTGCCATCCATCTTTTCAACCCTACCTTTTTTGTTGCAGATTCACAAAGTAAGGTGACCGATGACCCCACCAACCCGACAATTTGCCTATTACATAAATGTGGTCTATCATCTAACCATTGCTTTATGTTTGATGAAATTTGTCGCCGAGAACGGACCGATGATTGTCTTCTTTTCTACATCGAGGATTTACGCCGCCCCCACCGAAACTTCATTCAAAAGGTCCGAGAAAATATGTCCGCAGCTGTGGAGATCTGCTTTGGAGAAGAAGTTTTCAAAGAGATATTCAAAACTACTCGTCTAGTTCGTTTTCCTCTGTGGGGAATGTTCAAGTCTGTGAGACTTTGGATCGACCTTGGTGGTTCGAATTCGAGTTCAATGAAAAGGTTCATCATCCAAGCCTATCACCCTCAATTCTTCTGTAGGCCCGGACGTTTCGATAAGACTAGTTCTGAGTTTTTCGAAACTTATGGAAGAACACAGGATTTGGCGATTTTGATGGCTACCCAGCTTGCTGGAATCCAGCATCAAATCAAGACCAAGCCTAGGTTTTTTGAATTTCATTTTGTCCGAGGTCAATATTCCCGGCTGAGTGCTAAGCAGGACATGGAAAGGCAAGAACATTTACGGGAGGCTCTAGATGCCTTCCGGGTGGCTTTTCCGAAAACGTTCGAGGAGTTCGAGCTTAGGCAATCTCGCAGAAAGGAAGAGAAGGACCTATTTAAAGGGCTAAAAGATATATCCTCCGGAACTCTAGTGCCTATGCATACACACCCGAATGGGCCCATTTCTGAGCAAGAACAGGTAAGTAGTGTTCTCCGAGCTTCAAAGGTTTGATCTAATCAATCAATAGATATTTCGCTTGAATGCGAGAAATGACAAATTGCGTTTGATTATTACATCCTTCGACAAAGTTGTCAAAGACATGGATCTTTTTCACAACGAGGAGAGCGATGATTACGTCGAGTCTGAGATTTTCAACTTTGAGGATATTTCAACTCCACTTCGATTATGGCTCTACTCCCAAGATGGTCTTAAAGTCCATGGCTTACCAATAACAAATCGAGAGACACTCGAATTGTCATTTTCTCTTCTTGACAAAGGCCGTAGAGCCCACCTCAATAAATTCTCGACTGAATATCTCGCCCGCATGGTCGGAATCATGTACATTCGGAAGATCACCCGAACTGAATCAGGATTCAAACAAGTCAAAGCGATCCCCGGGGAGCCCGGCAAATTGATTCGTCTAAAATGCAAGGGCTGCCAGAGGCCCGTTCTGGATGACGCTTTCCCTTTCTTCGTTGCGGAATTGCGAAGTTGTTATCTGATCGAAGTTGTTCGAAGTGCTCAAAAAGGTGGAAATGGTTGTGGGCAAAATGGCTGCAAAGGAAAGCCAGGTCTCGTCCCTGCTAATCACATGGTGCAGGATCATACTCGTATGGAAACGAGGGCAATTTCCCAGACTAAACGCCGCAAGGAAAATTGGAAGTCACCCCTGTGCCGCACAGGTAAGGACCTGGAGGGCTGTGCTGAGACTGTTCGTGTCCGCTGCAGAGGGTATGGTCAGGGTAGCCAGAAAATAGAATGTGGGCGCGAAAGAGACTACGACACACCAGAGTGGACGATTCACTCACCCGCTCGCCTCGTTCAACCTCGGCTCAAATGTGATTGCGATGGGAAGGAGAAAGATCACTACTTTGAGCCCGTGGACAAGGGGATTGACATGGTTTCTTTAACAAGCTTACGGAAAATCTATCAGGGCTTTTTGGACGCACGCTGTAACTTGGCCGATTACCCTAAGCTCCCCGAGATAATCTTCGACCTCGAGCCAAACGGAGACCCCAAGAAAAAGCCGAGGACATATCGACAAAGATTTGAATACTTAAAAAATGCCACAATGGCTTTGATTGGCTCGAGGTAAACACCCCTACGACACGGATAGGAAGATATGTATGACCGTCGCCCTCTATTTTAGATAGCTTCGTTCAGTGGATGCTATGTACGATTCATCCGGTGCGCGACTGTGAGATTGTTACCTGTACTCCAAATTCCAATAAGTAAAAGGTGCTCACGAGTATCTCCTAGACACGCTTCGATGGAGTCGAGCTCAGACACTTACTTCACTATCCAATGCAGTACTGTAATCGTGTTCAAATAAGCTAGGTCTATGCATCGCATGGGATTTTGTCAGTTCGGAGTAGCACCTGGTTTACCATCGGGGACATTTGCCGGGCCTACAAAGATATAGCCAGGAGTAACAAAGTCCCAGTCATATTGTCTTCTAGTATGAGTGTACACAGGTCCGGTCTCTGCCTTAATGTATTAGCGATGACTCACAAAACAGTGAAGGGGGTGCATCATGTACCGATTGAAAATGTTATAGATCGGTACCTTCTACATTTCGAAAACAAAATAGAGGTGGCTAGAAGAATGCGAAAGCCAATCATTAGAACCATGGGCACTGGAAGATAATTAGACTTCTGTATAATGAAAGACCCCGAGCGCAACAGAATGATGCACGCAAGGTCTATGACCCACTTATTCTATAAGGCCAAACATCATATCATCCCCCTTGCTTAATTATATCGATTCGAATCTGAACTCTATCTAGAGCCAAGCAAAACTAGTGAATGACTATCCAGGCTATCTAGTGTAGATCATTAAATTATCCACAATGTCAATGAATCTGGATCTTGTGCATGATGAGATCTGCCCTGTACTGAATTAGGCCAAGGTTAGTTTTTCACACGTAATACATTTTTGAGATCTCAGTTTTGTTGTGTTGTTTAATATTTGGCTTGGGTTCCTTTATAGTTCTCTAGTCAGAGTGGTCACCAAAGAGACAATTTAAAAATAATAATGAATCGATCGATAAAGAGAGCCTATAGGCCTTAAAATTTCACCGTCACAATTTCCCCAAACAGCCTTCGTATGTTAACGTTGGTTTGGCGTGAAAGAGGAGAAGGTGGTGGTAAGGAACTTGCAATATGCCCCAGATCGACTACAACAAGAATTATGGATTGACCCTTAGGGGATAATCCAAGAGGCTAGATGTAGCAATTGTAGGATCGATCAATAATCAAACATGAAGTTCATTTTGATTGAATCCCTTCATGTTCTTTCCGAGTCACAAGAAACGCGCGATGGTAGATTTGGACCTAGTCCAAGTAAAAGAAAATCGAAAAGATCAGACCCTGGTAATTTTGAACTGATGCTGAGACTTATCCTTCAGCCCAGCCTCGATAACCTCAATTCAGCTAGTCGACTTTTTCTTATCATCGCCTGTTTTGTTAATCACCGCCGTCCATACCTATTTAAGCTACTCGGAGCTATACCAGTACATAGTAATAGGGACTTCGATCCTCGGGATAGTCGTCTTTTTATACTCTACATTTAACGATATATCACTAGATAATCTAATTATCAAGTTGGTTGGAGATAAATTGTTCAATTTAGCGACTATGCTTTAAGACAGATACGCAGTCTTAAGTATTTCAAAAGCTTCGAAACCATTGCTTCACAGATTAACAGAGATAGCAGAAAGGTCTGTACAGCGGCTACAACTCCACCACCAGCTTCGTGGCACTGACTCCCGCCTTGGACTTTTCCAACGCAGATTGAATATGCTCTAAGCCCTTACCGACGACAAGCGGAAGTGGGAGGCACTGGAGCTTTCCAGACTGCAACGCAGGCGTAACATACTCCTCCCACACAGGCGTCGCAATATTGTTGACAGCAAAAATCATACCGGCATTGACATTTGCGGGAAGATCGGTGGCAGGAGGGGGAGGATGCACACAAGCAAGGTGTCCTCCATCCAGCTGACCAAGAATAGCAATGTCATGAGCATAAGTCCCGGGGGTAGATATAGCATCAAAGATGCCAACGAACTCGCCGCCACTCTTTCGAACCGCATCGCCAACCTTGTCGACAAGTGAAGTATCATTGCGATCAAACACTTGGCCTGCACCGCACCTCTTGCTAAATTCAAAATTGTGTGCGCCGGTGATGGAGATCACATAAATTCCGGCCGCTGTAGCAAGCTGCGTCGTCATCGAGCCAACTGAGGACGAGCCACCATATACAACAAGCGTCTTGCCAGAGGATGGCACGTCCTGCAGCGAGGGGTACGGAAGGCCTAGTGCCGGTGTAGCTACACCAGGCATGGCGACACCAGGCTCCTTGAGGGAAAGCACGCAGACGGCCGCCTCCAATGCGAATGGCACTACAACGCCATCCGTGAACGATATTTCATCCGGGAGTATGGCCGCTTTGTTTGCGGGAATTACCGTGTACAGAGCAAATGCACCATCCTGAGAGCGCCCACTAGTCAGATTGATAGCGTGTCTGTTGAGGAAAGATAACATTAGTTCGGGATGGCTTTGTTTCTGTATACTGTCAAATAGCATACCCGATTACACGACTCCCTCTCTTGAAGCGTTCAACATCCTTTCCCACTTCATACACCTCACCGGCTATATCGCATCCAAAGATGGCGGGCCATTGCTGCACGAAGACCCCGGAGTCTTGCATGTGGCAGTCGAGAGGGTTGATAGCAATCGCTGCGTTTTTGATGACGAGTTCCCCTGGCCCTGCTGTGGGCAGCGGAGCATCTCCCACCTGTAGGGGAGAGCCAGCTTTGGTGAGCCATGCAGCTAGGTTCTGTGGGATCGACATTCCGAGAGAACAATGAGGGAAGGTAAATTTGTTTAAGAAATGCGAAAATGGTAAATGATGCCTAGTTAGCTGTTTGCTTTGATACTAAGTTAAACGCGAATTTGAACAGGATCTGCCGAACTATAAGTACTTTCGAATGTCTGAATTGATTTCCAATTAGCACAATTATTTCAAAGCAGGTAGGTAGTAAATATTATCAAGTATGAAAGTTGTTAGGGAGAACCACATGTGCCGTTCCCATGAAGAACCATATATGCTGTTCCATCCTTAAATCCGACTTAACGCCGAATTATGTCAGTGGTAAATTACACCACAGCAGACCAATCTCATGTTTGGTCACAACATTGAATCCACTGCTACACGAGACTTTACCATTCACGATCGTTGATAAATTATGCAATTCAATCAAGATCTCATAATTCTTCTGTTAAATGAAGCCCGAGGAAAACCTCTGCATACCTAAACGGCAGCACATGGCCTTTCAACCCCGCATTGTCTTCCATCGTCTACCCCAACCTCCACCCTCGAGAAAGGGTTGTCATTTAAAATGCGGCTCGGTCCACGAGACCTACTTGAGTATAATGAGAAATACAAAGTCCTGATCTGTCGAGAATGCCACTATGCCATTCAAAAAAATGCATTGGCGAGCCATTTGCTCCGCCATAAAATTTACCGACAAGAAAGACTTCGTTTACTGTCCACTATCCACCAATTGGACATCGCTGAACTGGATAATATATTACTGCCCAGTCCAAGTACAAGGCCGGTTGATGTCCTACCTGTGGTGTCTGGGTACTCCTGTACTATGGCCGGGTGTGGACATCTCTGTGCAAGCTCTAAACGCATGAGACGCCACTGGAGTGATGCCCACCGTATTAGTGAGCTGAACGACTTTGCCTCTCATGCGCGCTCAGTGAAACTTCAGACTTTCTTTCGCGGCACAAAAATCAGGTATTTCGAAGTCTCTGTGGCAAGTGGAGCCACAGAGTTACAAGACTCGGATGAAGCGGGCGGGCATGACAGAGAGGACTCTGGTGTGAACGAAGCGCCGTCACTAGCACATCCAATGCCACTCTCTGGGTCTTCTCCAGTAGTGGACCTAGATACATTGACCTACTTCCATCATTTCATCATTACAACGTGTCCGACACTTCCTAACATCGAGGGCTCTCTACCAGCGTCACAATACTGGGGGACATATATCATTTCGTTGGGTTTACAACAACGGTGGTTGATGTGTGGGTTGCTAGCTATTTCTGCATACCATTCAGCCACGCTCGAGAACGAGACAACAGCACAGCAAAAGCACTGTGAGCGAGCGACAATGCTCCGCTCTGAATTCTCAGTCGGGTTCAACGACATAATGAAAAATAGTTCAAACATGTCCACCGAGACTTTGCAAAAAATAAAAAAGGCAGGAGTTCAAGTAAGGAGCATCATTAGCTGTGCCCAATGGACCTTGACTGGATTCACTACGAATATAGAGATTGTGCTAGGTCCTGCCACAGCCCTTTCTCAGCTACAATCTTTACTATGCGACATTCGAGACTTTTCTGAACTGGGAAACCTGTTAGAATTCGAGCGGAGTAAGGGCGATGATCTTCGAACATCTTTGGGTACGAATGGCTCGCGGGGTACCGCCGAAACACCGACTCTTTTACTCAACCGTCTTCAGATGCTCCCTTATCGCATGGCCGAGATATTCGGGAAACCAGATGATGGGCAAGATGCCCCATCTATTCTACTCAGCATCGCAGCGTTGCTCCAATGCTGTAGCGGCGTCTTTGGGTCCAATAAGTTACCAGAGGCGTGGCAAGGTATAGGCGCATGGTTAAACAAGACCACGGGCCACTTCAATCATCTGGCTTCAGTCCAAAATCCAGCCGCACTTATCGTGCTAGCCCACTGGGCGGCCATTTTGGTTAAATTGGCCGAATTTTATGAGTGCTGGTTCATACATGGCTTTTCAAGGGCAATTGTTTTGCTTGTTCACAGGCATCTCTCTGCGGATGATGCAGTTCAAAGCTTAGTTGAAGGTCTGATAGAGTGAATGAATCCACAAGGCTCTGCTAAGCCACTTATAGATCGCTGTCTAGATATCAATGTACCTAGTGTACACAGGGAACTCGTCGTCCAATACATTATGCTTATTTAGCGAAAGCTCTTATCTTTTTCATTCATTGCGCAAATTGTCACAATCATCAGACAAGCTCTCATGGTTCTAACCGTAGACGAATCGACGGTATAGATGTCGCAAATATCGATGAAATAGATTTGCTTCAGTCCGCCAAACCCCAGACGGGCATGGCTACATCGCTATATACTAGACTGATCCTCTTCGTTGAGCTGCTGTCTAATGAAAGTGAATTGCAATTTCATGAGAAGAAGCCCTATACAGATGGACCCAAGCATTCCTACAGAGAGCCATCCCAGCGCCATTGCCACGCCTCCCACATGGCCTGATACGGCGCCATAAGTGAGAGTTTTGGTCATCGTCGCCGTAGCACTGCTGTTGATGTGCTGCCATAATATGGCGATGAGACCAAATCCAAAGCCGGCACTCGCAACGAGTAAACAAGTTGACTCTAAAGTTCTAGACGGGAATATCTTCACCTCGTGCTCTGAGCCGTTTTCATCAAATTGCTCCTGCCATCCAGGGAATGTTGATAGGACTAGGAAACAAATGAACATCAAAGCCACCACGATATATCTACACATCAGGGCCATCAGTATATCGTAGCATTGAAATAGCCAAAGGGAAAGACTTACATCAACCCACTGAATACGATTTTTTCCTTGAATTCATTTGAAATCATGATCAAATTTAGCGGGTCGGGTATAATTTCTGTGCTTGTATTCCCATCGTTGATAGACCTTTGGGCCCGTATCAAATTTGCTAACACCTGTGCATTACTAGAGCAGATGCGTCCAGTATGACTCTGCGTCACACATATTCCCATGTACCCCGCTCTGACTTCGAGAGTCGTTCCGTTGCCAGTTTGCGACACATTGTGAATAGCATGTCCAATGGCTGAGCTCACTTGTCCGGGTGCCGTAGACAATGGATACTTTGTCACTTTATATTCTAGTGACAGTAAGTATATGTTGCTTAGACTGTTGGAAGAAGAACAGCCTGCGAGGAGGATGGCTAGGAGAGTGAATCAATTAACAAATCCAGAAGAGAATATATTTCCTTCGCTCACATAGCAAGATAACTGCAATCACTGACAAGAGCATCAAAACACGATGGTTAGCAAAACCAAAACTAAATTTCTCTTTGTGTCCATCGGGTCAGCACATATAACCAGTTCTAAATCTCGACGATCGTACTTATTCGGTTAATTCTGGACCTAAATGCCATGGCTTCAATAGCAAAGCTGTAGTAAGCTGAGATGAGGGGCGAAGAGTGATTATGAAGATACAAAAGAAAACACGAAAATGTCAATTCCAACTGCGCATCTAATTTCGAGCTGAACAACGCACTATACTAACCCTATCTAGACTAGTGGGCGCAATTTGATATTCTCTCGTCAACTGGTCAAAAGCGAAGTATGGTGAATTGGACATGTTTAGCCGACAATAGCTGCATTAATATCATCCAACTTGAATAGCACATATCGAACTTTTATGAACCTTCATTTATTGCATTCCCCTTTTTTGGCCTGTTTTCGGTCTCTTTCCCAACCACCAAATATCCCCGCTTGAAACGATTGCTAGCTACATACATGTACGGAACATCAAAATATGATCCGCTTGCTATGACCTATAGGGACCTATATGTTGAAATAAAATCGAAATACCTGCGTCCCAAAGGCCCCAAAAGGTTAACAATTACCATGAGTACAATCATAATCATCACAACGCCCATTGTTAGCCCAGTCTTGATGTCAGTAGCTAGCGGGCGTGTCCAGATGAGGGCCAATGGCACCGCAATGAATATTGCAGTGAAGATCAAATATATCAAAGTCATTCTAACCCAGAAAGGTGTGCGACCCACTCTGTTCATGATAAGGTCTGGTAATGCGTTCCGAAACTTCGGTGTGGATCTGAACCAGAATGGAACTCCCACAGTGACTATAACAATGAAAGCAATAGCGATGCTAACGGCATCCCGGATACCGGAGTCAAGGTCACGGGTCCAGAGGAGAGCGATTGGTATGCCCGAAGCCACACCATTTAACAAAACGAAGCTGATGATGAACCCAAACACAGCCCAGATCTTCTTTGCTATTAAGCAGGTTTTCTTCGCGCCCCATTTACAAATGCTGGCAATTCTGGTACCGAGTCGAGTTGCTATTGACCGAAGTATTAGGACCATCGGAAGCGATCGAGGTTGTACGGTTTGACCATTCCTTGCGGCATATCTCCTGACATCATGCTTCACAATTTCCTTGAGATCAATCAACCAGTGACTTTGCATAGTCACACGCATCAAATAAGCAAATAGTGTCACGGCAATAGCCACAGCAAAGAAGTTACTGATGGGAACTGGATTTGCAAATGGTTCGATTTCCATACCAAAAACAGAAGCCGCGAAAGACATCGGGACAAAAATGAACGCTAGTTCGGTGAGTCTTGCCACAGAATGAGCCTCGTCTATCGAGCGTCGACTATCCAGCAGACCCATATTGGAAGTCAAGGATGCTGATGTTCTTTGGAGTCGATCAATAATGTGGTCGATATCCTTCCAAAGTTCGTAAATATCTTGCGTAACTTCTACTCTCACGGCTGCAATCTCCACGGGAGAGTTAAGAGGATGGAGTTTGAGCAGGAACTCAATAAAAGGCTCCATAGACGATCTCAATTCTGGAAGCTCTCGCTGAGCACGGTTGATGATCTGTCGCCATAGGCCCAATCTGTCCTCCATCTTCGTATCATCAAGAATCTCGATATTTATTTCGTCAAGAACTTGTCGTAGCTGATTGAGCAGAGTCACGGTGTCTTGTTTGATGATTCGGAGTAACGGCTTAACTAGACTAGATGGAGCAAGTTGCGTTCCGAGAGACTCGCAGACCTCTGATTTGGTTGATTTGGTCTCGCTGAGTTGTTCCTCCAAGTCTGCCATCGACTGTGGTGTTTGAAATACGCAGTCTAGGTCGACCGAAACTGTTTGGCGAGGAGCTATCTGCTCAATGATAACCGTGTTCAGTACTTCAAGCTTCTTTTCCAACTTGTTGTTTGTTCTTCTTTTTCCGCCAATGATCCAGTTCAACGACCTAGCAAGCGTACGTTGCTTCCTGACACGTTGCGGTATCTCTTCAACCATGGAGGAGTGATACAATGCATAATCACTATCATCCCATCCCTGAGAACCATTTGATGCCCGGTAGCGATGGATCTCAGATATTGCCGGCAAAGGATCGAGAATTACAATTACTAAATGGCCTGTCAGTGTCTCGGATTAGGTTTTTACTTCAGATTTATCACTTACCAATCTCAGTATCTTGGCCAATAAGTTTTTTTCTCCAAATTGACACTCTCTCCTCTAACCCACACATTCTTTTCATCCTCACCGTTTTCGTGGGGTCTGTCCACAAGCCCCAAGCGGGCCGGAATATATTAGTGAATATTTTCGTCGTGACAGACTGGTCCCGTGTGAAATGGGTTATTTGGTCCTCAAGCAGATCTTCAAGGTCGCCGCTTGAAAAAAACGTTGGAAGTTGATAAACTGGCCTAATCCACTTGAATGACATGTAGGATTTCTCAAATGATGCTGTGCTCCAGTTTCGAGCCGGTGGACTATCATATTTCCCGCCGGCATAGCCAGAGTTCAATAAATGCTCTTCGAAGAACTCTGGATTTATGCTGAAGTTTTCACCTAACTCTTCGATCATTGGTTCAGAAAGATCTTCCACTAAGATAAGTCTTTGCTGCACGTCTTGGGGAACATGGCGCAAACTTTCAATCCTCATAGGAATATCGATGCGTCTTGGACGGGATATAGAGTTGTCGAAATAGTCGTAGTATGTGATTGCAGTCCTTATATGACGGGAGGTTTTACCGACGCTTCCGTTTTTAATATGTTCTAGCACCTTTCCGGCATTCTCAAGAATTTTTCTGTATGATGGCGGACTCGTTTCATCAATCGAATGATGACCAAGCTGTGTTGGATCAACCATTCGATCTCCTCGACGTGGTCTTCTGGTTGATGGCGGTCTGGATACAGGTAGTGGGAGATTAGATGGATCTGTTGGATCAGATGGTTGCGAGGTCATCTCTTGGGAAGATTGGGATCCATCATCCTCAGGATCGATATTGAACGATCTCTCTGAATGTAAATTATCAACGAGAGTGCGAGGTGTCACAGAGGCCACCACGTTTCCTTTCGGAGCTGGGCCATATGTAAAAGGATCATTGCGCAAAAGATCTTCTAATGAGTTTGTTTCGTCTCTTGATGCAACATGATTTTGAGGAGGACCAGGAGGATCCGGCTGTACGAGGACAGGGTCATATGATTTCCCTCCAGCCATTATATAGAATATTGGGATCCTTCAGATGTTGTATATAGCCATTGTCATCTTAGTACGAGGCATATGTCGCATATGTCGATGTAGGTGGTTGGCAGCTCAGCCTCAAATGATTGGCCCGTGCGTGCCAACACACACTAGGCCGGACATACCCCTCTTCTTCTCGGCTCTCCCATTTACAACCTAAAGACCAGTGATGAAAGTAAAAGTCGCGCATGAAAGATTCGTTGGATTTGTTTCGTGTACTCCGTACTTCCTCGCCTGTGCACATTACATTAGAAGTTACCGATCGGACTTTACTAACACGTTGTGTGACCAAGGGTATGACTCGCGCTAAACGTTGCTGGTTTCTCGTAGTTGCTGCGACACGATGATTAGTCGCTCAACTCTCGTGATAGGGCTGTTTTTATACGCTATCCTCCGTAGACAGCCTCGCGTGTCCGTGCGCAAGTGTGTGTGATCACCAGTCTTCATGTAACGACGAGGGGGTCGAAAGTGTGGGGTAAAACGGTAAATTCGTGAGCTTCTCAGTCTAATTTTGCGCGTAGTTGCGCACTGAATTGTGCTCGTTGGCGTGTTTAAATCTTGCGACAATGAGACCTTGCCCTCGTAGTAACGAGCCCCAGTGGCCCACTACCCCTGCTTAATTATTCACTATGGATGTGCTCAGAAGATCAAGTTGATAAGAACAAATGGCTTATAGCCTCTAGGTCAGACGAGAGGGAATTAAAATCATAGATTGAGCTAGGCTGGTAAGAGAAAGGAAGAGAGCTCAGCCCTGAAGGAGCATGAGGCAGAAGTCTGAACAATTATTTATCTGTACAAGTCTGAGACAATGAATAAACGGTCCAAGGATTGGCCGGGTGTAACATCAATCCCTCAAGGCTTCAAAGTCCGCACGAATTGACGCGCATATATCATCAACCAATGACATTTCCTCCTCTACTGGGACACCTAAGGCTCCAGCTTGCCAACTCACCGTGCATGTCAAGCTACCCTCTTTGACACTGATGATGTTGAAAACAAGTGGCGCACTAGTAACATTTCCAGGCTGCGAGAATACCATCTTGACAACCTTGCACTTTTGATCCGCGCCGTCACCCATGTTATCGAAGGCAAGCAAATTGCTCAGTTCGTACGATGAGTCCCGCTGCTGTCCAATTTTACTCAACGTCCAATTCCTGATGCTGGGAACATATCTCAGCAGGCCGATTGCTTGGTCCTGCAGCCTTGCACCGCATTCAGCGAGATTTTGTGACATCGAACTTGCGGCTGCCCACATCTCCTCGGACAAAGCAGGCTCTGTCGCAATCGGTACCCTTGGATGTACCTCGTAATGGCCAGACACGAAAAGACCCCATGTGAGACTAGGCGTCCCGATAGACGCTCGCATATCAACAGGCGTCCCCGAGACAAAATTGGTCACGTCAGGGCTAGGAATGGCGCTGCTTAGCGCCCGAACAATCATCTGGTGCATTGTTGCCGTGAGCTTGGTACCGTGGCTCCTTGACGTTTGCAAGGCCTTCTGAACCAGCGGAGCCTCAATCTCAATAATTCTTACCCTGCTCTTGAGGGTGGCCGCTGGGTCAAAGAACATGGGTGACCCAATCCAAGTACCGGCATCTAACGTGCTGGCAGATGCGCGGAGCCCAAGCATTTTAGCCACAAACTTCGGCAAGTAAACTGCTATCAATGGCTCGAGGAGGAACTTCCAAGATATGGGAAGTCTTTCGGGCGTGTCAAAGGGTGGCGGAAGCGTTTGACTTGGCGGAGCCACTAAGAAAGAGGCTTTCTCCTCCACGCCAGCAGTCTGGCGCCATGCATCTAGGAAGGTGCGGTGAAATGCAACTCCGACCATGCCGTCTCCGAGAGCATGGGAAAACGCAAAGGCGATAAAGCACCGCTTCACTGTGGAGTCTCGCGGTGACACCAAAGGGAGGACCACGATCCGCCAAGGTGGAATATCGGCAGGCCATGGCCGATCAAGTATGGCTGGCAGTATCTCTTCAAATTTTTCCGTCTCGCCATTTCTACTAGCTTCGTCTTCATGAATTATAGACACATGATCGTGGAGATCAATGCTAGAAACTGCTTCGTATGCTGGCTTCTCGGTATGCTTGTCCCTGACGACCACGTTTAGGTATGGGTACTTCCCAATGCAGTGTCTCAAAGGTGCAAGAAATGACTGGGCGGAGTTAACGTCTACATTTTCGCTTGCAATCTCATAAACTGCTGCTATGATGAGTGCGTTGTAATAGCCGACATCTTCGCGACTAATTGTACGGCGTTCATTGGGACCTGGGTTCAAGTTAGCCCCACCGATACAATTCAAGTAAAGGTATTTTACTAACTTGCAAGTCTCATGAACTCTGTAGGGTCCGACATTTCTCTACGACAACTCTTTACAACATAAGAGCACAATGTGCTGCCAAAATATAGGGGAATCCATCGGCACAACTATCTTCCGGATATATCTATTTTGGGACATTGACAGATATTGGGGGCCAAATAGACTTGACAACAAAACAGAAAGATAGCAGCGAGATATGGAATTTCATATATCCGCGAGGCTAAATGGGCCGCCACGTCCGGAGATTGAAAAATTATGTTCATCCGAAAAAGGTGGTTTATTCTGCAATCCCACGGCCCATTATCGTCTGCCCTATGCTATGAAGACCCTTAGGGATGATGAGCTTGCTTCTAAGTACTCTAACTACTTTGCGCAAGTACACTAAACGTTTGTCCCGCTTGCTAAATACTCCTTGCTGAATGGGTAATCCGAATAACCCACCGCCGACTCGAAGACATAAAAGGTATCTCTTTTATACGCATTAAGCTCCAGACCCTTCTGAATCCTAAAAATGAGATCCGGATTGGAAACAAAGTGCCGGCCAAAGATGACCATGATATCCTTGTCCGGATGCTTCTCGTCCACCAGCTTACGCGCCTCATCCGATGTATACCCACCAGCAATAAGATAAGGTCCGTCCCACAGATCATATGCAAAATCCAGACTGTCATGGCCGTCGTAATCTTGGGAGCCAGAAACCCGCGACTCGACGAGGTGAAGATATGCAATGTCCATCTGTCTAGCTTTGCTGATCACATCGGTGAATTGCGGGATAGGATTCTGCATTCTCATACCCTGGAACGTACTCCACGGGCTCAGTCGAAGCCCGACACGCTCAGGACCAATGGCATGAACAACAGCTTTGATCACATCGTCGAGCAGACGAGATCTATTCTCCACATTGCCGCCGTACTCATCGTCACGATTGTTGCTAACTTCTTGGATAAACTGGTCGAGCAAATATCCATTCGCTCCATGAATCTCAACTCCGTCAAAGCCGGCCTGAATAGCGTTTTTTGAAGCGTTGACAAAATCCTGGATTGTCTGTTTGATCTCATCGGTGGTCATAGCCCTGGGCACCACATCGCCCTCTTCGATGGGAATAGCACTGGGTGCTACGATATCAACGCCTTCTTTCCGAGCTACATCGACATCCGCCGCACGGCCCATAGCGAATAGTTGACAAAATATGAAACATCCCTTGCGATGGACTTCATCGGTGACGATCCTCCAGGCAGAGACTTGGTCCTCACGCCAAAGCCCTGGTGCGTGAGGGAATCCACCGCAGGTTGCTGATATAAATGTTCCCTCGGTGATGATCAAGGTACCTGGCACTGCGGCGCGTTGGCTGTAGTATTCCTTCATGAGGAGTGTTGGCACTCGGTCTTCAGTTGCTCGGAAGCGAGTGAGTGGTGCCATTCCGATGCGATGTTTCACTCCCATGCCACCAATCTTGAGGGGTTTAAAAAGGCGTGATTGAGACATTGTCAAGAATCTTTTGGACGACTGTTCTTCGGTGGGAGAGTTGAGAATATTTGACCCATGATGGAATCTCAGGGAAGACCAGGTATTTGTACCCAAGTTTCAATTAAAAATATCTTGCAGTCTTCGGATGAATGTTAGAAGGTCTATACAAGTAGGGTAGAGAGATACTTCTCAAAAAGGAAAAAAGATACTTCCTATTAGGGAAAGGCTCCCGAACTTTACCGTTTGTGGTTAGAGTTATCAATATTGGGCCAACCATTCATCTATAATCTCAGGCTAGTGGGGTACAACATCCGGAGAGTTTTTCGCTTTCAGCCCTGGAGGTAATCAGCGCCACCCAGGCATGATTGGCCAATGACAGATAGAGGAAGGCCGTTCAGTTCCAAAGTTCACTATGTATGATTTGAAATCAATACTACGACAGTTGAACAAATGAAGACCTTGAAGAATTTCTCGTTTCAGCTAATTTAGAGGGTATATTCTTCCCAAAATGCCTTGACCTGGGATAAGAATGCTTTGTCAGACCATATGAACTGCTTAAGAATTACAAGCAGTTCTGGCCATGATGTATACAGCCATCTGAATCTGCTGTGATTTAAATGCAACAGCCGCACATAGCCCTGTCGTATAGTCCCTACGGGGGCAAAAGCACCTCCGATATGCAAGAGCCAGGCCAACAGATCAGGCGAATCATTCAACACTGGGTTATTGCTTGCCGATTGCAATTTGCAGAGCAATTGTAATGAAAGGTGAGACTAGCTGAAGTTAGTATAAGCCAATGAGAGACTCATGGACAAGCGTAATCAATGTGATTTACTTACAGGGATGGTTGAAGTCCGCCATATTTTGCAGCGCAGCATAGTCGAGCACAGATATGCCGCTTGATGGCAACATTCCGAGATGGGTGAAAAAACTGGCAAGTTCACTAGCCTCGACTGGACGGACGCTTGGTGGTTATCTATATGCGCCATCGGCATTACCTCCTCTTTCCCGAGGATTTTTGATTCTCGGATGCATTGCAATGCAAATACATCTTTAAGAATTTCAACAAAATCCTGGCCTAGTAAATAGGAGCAATTTTGGAATCCAGGTGGAAGAAGAAAAATGTCCGGATGGGAAGCATCTCTCCTCCATTGGAGCTCGGAAAATGTTGTGTGGTCAACAACTCGGCTTGAACCTGTCGTGACCGAACCATTTAAGTCTGACCTGTCGGCAAGTGTAAGGCTTAGCTGTCAGAAAATGCCCCAGGTTACTTACCAGAAGATCGCACGTTTGATATCGTCACTCAAATAGACGCCCTTTCTTTGGCATACGTCAAGAATGCTTTGTATTGCCCCCATGTGAAGCTGGACTTGACGTGGCATACCAAGACGGACCTTGATTATAAAGGCTTTAGCTTTTAATGGCAACTCCTCTTCCAAATACAGCAAACTTAAAGGGGAAAATTGAACTGACCTCTATGCCAGCGAGTAGTAGAATGGCTCCTATTGTAGACTCCGTAGCAGCCCTATCCAGAGAACTCATTCTTTGGCGGATAGATCTCAGAGCCTCATTTTGGTATTCGAGACACTCTGGGCTAGTCATACCTGCTGTGACAGTAAATGAAAATGTGAGCATGACGGCGTTCAGAAGAGCGTTATCATCTAGGCCTTTTCGAAGGACGGAGCGGAAGTTTTGAAGCACAAGTTCATCAGAAACGCTGAAAACCGGCTCCACTGTTTGTTGAAACTTTCCTATTTCCAAAATCTATATGAGCCATTGTCGGACATCGGGTGATTTCCAAAGTCTTACCTCGGTTTGACAATGCCCGTATGTTCGGGGACTCCGCTGCCAGCATTTGGAACGCATCGGATGAGCCGACAGCAACGGAAGCTGGCGGTGCAATAAGAGCTTCATCTCGTTTCTCCTTCCTCGCGGATGGGCCATGATTATTTCCTGGGCATAGAACATGGAAATTATGGCCCGAACTTTGCTGAAGCCTTCTTTTGTTCCGGAGGCCGTGCGATACCGCATGCGATCGGGCTAAACGCTTCGTTCTGCCGTCATTTGAATTTTTTATTGGAATGAAAAGGAATCGATCACCTGAAAAGACGACGTTAATCATAAGATATGGAGGAATGCTCGGTCCCTTAAAGCTCTGCCCTACCTGTATCGCGCTCATTGTATGTAGTCATAGTATTTGTATATTAATCAAACTGTCGCCTTTCGTCGAAATGAGTGCATATTCTTAATAAAAGATGTTATTTTCTGCGATATGCACATCCCTTTCATAAGCGTACGATGAGGTGGTTAACCAAGTACGTTGTCGATGGTCGATGGCCGGGCATAGGGCTGGGTGGTTGGATTACAAATCAGAGGCACTGCCCAGGCTCCCGGGTCGGGGCCAGATGATGTCGGCAATCGGCATTAACATACCGGTGATAAGGTTTCTGGGTGAGATCGCGGCCCGCTCGGCTAACTGAAGTGACCCAAACAATCGCGAAATTATCAATATATGTAGCCAATACAAAAATAAACACGATGTGATATGATGTGCATTGATCTCAATCACCAGTCACTAAAACATGTATGTATGTACATAACTCTACTACCAGGCTGTCATACCACCATCCACCCGAATATCTGCAGCAGTGATATAGGAGCTCTCATCTGAAGCAAGAAAGCTAGCCACGGCCGCAATCTCCTCTGGCTGACCGATACGGCCAATCATGATCTTCTGCATCACATCTGAGGTCCACTCCGGGTCCTCAAGCAAAGGCGCAGTTTGCAGAGTTTGAATAAGTCCTGGTGAGATCGAATTGGCCCGGATACCGTGCGCACGCCCTTCCATAGCCAACTGGCGTGTCATGGAAATAACACCAGCTTTCGCGGCTGTATGAGCGATACCAGGCACTGAACGAATCGCAATCCAGCCGTTGGCAGAGCCAACATTGATGATAGATGCACCGGACTCCTTCAGGTGTGGCCATGCGACACGAGTCAACAGGTAGACGAGGCTTAACTCCTGGTCAATTGTTTTGTACCAGTCATCATCCTTGCCGTCATCGATCCAGCTCAGGTGGGCCATCGCCGCATTATTGTACAACACATCGATGCGTCCATAGGTTTCGATGGCTAGGTTGACAAGTTGCTCGCAGTTTTCACGTTTTGTGAGATCGCATGAGGACATGGATATCATTTCACCACCTAGCTCTCGTACGGCTTCGATGGTTGCTGCGTCGGCCACGGCATTGATGTCACAGCCGACTATTTTAGCGCCTTCCTGGGCAAACTTGAGGGCTGCTGCACGTCCCATACTACCGCCTGTGCCGGTGATGAGGCATATCTTGTTTAACAAACGGGGTGCCATAATGGTTGTTTGGGGTTGCTGTATGTCGAAAAAAAATTTAGAGAACTGTAGTGAAAGTATTTCTAAGAGAAGAGGGAGGCCACAAAGAGCAATATGAGGGGGTGGCCGGTTGGCAAGGCTCCGGTAGGAATCAAAGAACTCATCGGTTGGTATCGATTTGAATATTTGCTTTTTCGAGGAATCCAATCAAGAAAGCGCTTGAATCGATCCTGTGTTGGTTTCTCCATATTAACTAAGCGCCGTACCAGTTATTGAACCGGAAAATCAGTAGATGCATATTGTGGCTGCACGATACACGATCGAAGGGGCCGATTGCATCCACGGATGGACGATCGGATTCGATAGCGCGTCGCCTTGCAATTATCTGCCATCGCCTTATAACAGATACTACCAGGCTGCCGAATAAAATGACCTCCTACACAACCAATAAAGGGCAAAATAAATTAGCAATCTACCCCTGGATGTATCAACGGATTTCCTCCCAAGTCCCACTTGTGTACTTCCCAAACCACAACGCTAAGCTGTTTTTGGCTTCTGGGATGCGGATTAATTTGCCGATACTTACCAGAGATTTGGAACCCATTCAGCACGGAATGTCGGAAACTTCGAACCCCCTTTGGGCTTCTCGGGATTAGCCAGTATTAGCATCGTCTGTGGTCCGTGTCGTTTGCTAACTTCTTCCGACCCCAGGGGCAATATTTTGGGTAATTGAAGCCGAGTCTGAATGAAAGGTGTATCACACTGAGTACCAGGGTGCCCCTGACGCATTCCTTTCTTATTCGCCCGATTAGTCTTGTTAAAACGCATACCAGGAACAGCCATTCGTATGTACCTTATGTACAAAGGCTTCCAGTCGCCAGTATATTGTTTGATGGAAAAGCTCCAGTAGTGCGGCACTGACTAAATTATTAGCGACTCTTCGCTATGGAATCCAACATGTCATCCATCATCTAGGATCGGCGCTCCTTGCTTCTTCCGATCCACAGCCACGTTCATATCCTACATAGAAGAGGATTTAGGGACACCTTAACCGGTGGCTGACCAATGTTAGTTATCTTTTAACTCCAGGCTCTTAGTCTCACTTGCAAGACTAGGGACCTCCCCATATTCTAGTCAGAAGTAATCATACGTCTTGAAAAACTAGACCACCTCAATACCAGCTTGGTCTGCAGCTAATGCATAATTTCCACCTAGACGCCCACAATTTTGAGATTTTGATGTTAACTTCCAATTAGCACACTCCTAACCACAACTTCCATTGCCCGATCGAGCCACGGGTAGATGAGTCATACCGAGCCAGCCTAGTAGTGAAGCTCCTGCCTAAAACGTCATCTTTACCTCTTCCTTCAACATATTTCCTGGTATAGTTGATCCTTCCCAAGGTGTCTTCTAGGGTTACATACATAGAGCTAGTAAATGCAGTCTGGTGGGTACTACGAAACTTGCTACCGAATTATCATTTTCTTCCCTCCCCCTTCTCCTGCCCAACTACTATAATGGTATGACCTTGATAGGTCTTCCTTTGTTGGGCTGCTGTCTAGGGCTACCTACCCGTTGACTCTCCGAGGGTGTTCTCTAGCCGGATAGATGTTTATTTCTCTCTTTTCATGAACGGTCAATGATAAAATTATTATTTACGGCATCTACACTCCGCGAAATTGGTGAATAAGTGTGCAGCACATCACGTCCTACATCTAGGACCAAATACCCTATTGCAACTGTGAGTTGAGAAAAACACTCTCTACCAACTTGGCTTACAGCCTATCCCCGCCCCCCCC